TTTTATGTTTCTCAAATGTCAAGATACCAATTTTAAGTGACCTTGAGTGTGCTGTCACATAGGCGTCCACATTCTGATGAGTGATATGCAGATGCAACATCCCCAACCACATTTTCTACAAATCCCCCCTTTTCCTTTTATCTATTCTTTGTTGCGCCTGCATCTTAATTCATTATGTCATAAGAAGATTCTAATTATGATAACATTATTTATTATAATTAGGGTTCACCTCAGTCTCTTCATCTAGTAGGACCCAACCCCCTTATACAAAGTATTATGCAACAGCCTACAGATATCAAGATAGAGACTGCCATTCCCTTCCTCTTGCCAAACCATGATTCTAACCATCCCGTTAATGAATTATCTATTCCAGAGTTCCCTGCCAATTCTTTAGCTAAAGTGGTTAGACCTTTCTATGCCTTAGTAATGGTTCCATCTGGGGCTGTGTTGTTGGGCAATATTTCATCAAGGGTTTGGGGGACTTGCAACAATATGGGAGAAGGGAGGGAGAAATTGATCAACACATTGACAAATCAAAAGGGGGCAGTCCCCTTAATACAGATACAGAGACCCAGAAGTAACAGTAAATTGTCCATTTAAGACTTAAGAAGTCTCCTTTCATACAGCTGTCTGGTGTTCTGGACATCATCCGATGAAGTTTTCTGGTCTAAGTGCTGTTCAAGCAGTGTCTAGCAGACTGTCTTCTTGTAGAGATCCTCATTCCTGTGTTCACTCTCCTACAAGATTGATCTTAACACAATTTTAAATTACCTTTTTGGCTTAGATGTGATTTTTAATCTAAACCAGATTGGAATTAAATTATCATGTGAAAATAAATAAATTGAGAAAGTTTTGACTGTCTAGGAAAGTAGAAATCCTCTGATCAAACTCAGTAAATCTTTAGATGCATAGATTTTGAGATTAGTTGTGTTGCAAGACTTAATTTTTTTTGTAACAGTTTTTTACTTCAATGAGATGCTGTCATGGTCAGAAAATGTCAGATCTCAAATTTGATGAAAAATTGAGTCAGTGATTGATAAGAATCAATTTAATGGGCATATATCTGACTTTGATACCAGTGTTTTGAAGTGCTTTTTCAATGTTAGATACACATTATGTAAATAAGTATTAGTTGCTCAATTTTAAATTTATTCTCACACCACAAACAAGTGAAGTCTAAATTATTTACATATCTATATCTATATCTCTATCTAGAGATATAGATATGTATATATATATATATATTACTTCTAAGCATATTCGTTTCCTATTCAAGACATTACATTATATAGCCAAGACATGATTTGGGCCATCATTCTACTTCAGTTATTAGGTAATATCATTTTAATGGAAGGCACCTTGTCTAGAGGCTAACTTCAGAGTCAAGAACACCTAAATTCGAGCCCTATCTCTGTTACATACTAGCTGTTTGACCATGGGGCAAATCACTTAATTTCTCAGATGACTTAAGTTTCTCTAAGACCATACAGACCACTTGCTAATTTGCATGAACAAGAGATTAATTTACAGATTAAATACAGATCTAGGCCCAAAAAATTAACTAACAGATTAACAATTAATTAATAACAATTAACTTACAGATCTGGAACCCCCAGAAGGATAATTTTAGTAAGGGGAAGAAGGTAGAAAAAAAGTAAAACACCACTCTCTTACCCCACCCCACCCCCAACCACCCCCACAGCACACATTATATTTACTTATTATTTTTGTTGTTCAGTTTGTTTCCTTTTGCAGGAAAAAAGGAAACCAAAAAAAAGAATAGCCAAAGAAGTTTAATAGTCACAAGCAACATTAAGAAATTAATAATATCTGGGGGTAGCTAGGTGGCATAGTGGAGGAGGACCTGAGTTCAAATCCAGCCTCAGACCAAACACTTGACACTTACTAGCTGTGTGACCCTGGGCAAGTCACTTAACCCCAATTGCCTAAAAACAAACAAACAAACAAACAAACAAAAAGAAATTAATAATATCTAGAATTAAGAGAGTTGATCAGTTCAGAGTACAGCAAGACTTTTAGACCACACTTGGCTTATTGTGTTCAGTTCTGCCAATAGCTTTTGGTTTTTTTTTTTAAGGGGCTAAAGAACATTCAGAGGAAGGAAACAAGAATGGTGAAGAACCCTTACATCAGTTCATGAGAATCAATAAAAAGAACTGAATATGTTTAGCCTGGAAAAAAGAAAATTCAGGGAAACATGATATGGTGTGTTCAAGTAGTTGTACCGACTCTCGTATGGAAGAGGGATTAGATTGTTCTACTTGGTCTCAGAGAGCAAGAAGAAACTGGATTATAGTACAATAGTGTATGATAAACCCAAAAGATCCCAACTACTGGGATAAGGACTCGTTATTCAACAAAAAACTGCTAGGGAAACTTGGAGACAGTTTGACCAAAATTCCGTGATATATACTGCAGTAACTTCCAAACGATAACAGAACCTAGATATAAAAGTTTACATTAAAAAAAATTAAAGAGGCAATAACTCTCACAAAATTGTATATGGGAAGAGTTTCTTAGCCATAGAGATAAAAATGGACAATCTTGATTAAATAATATTGAAAAGATTTTGCACAAACATCAGTACAATTTATATTAGGAAGGAAAAGTTAATTGGAATAATCTTTGCTCTAAGTTTCTCTGATAAAAGCCCAATTTGAATATATAAGAACAAGAACCATTCCCCTATAAATAGTGAAAGGATGTGAACACACGCATGCACACACAAACTATCAGCAACCATATGAAAAAATTCTCCAAATAATTAATAAGAGAAATGTAAATTAAAACAACTCCTCCCCATATGCAATTTGGTAAAAATATGGAGGGGAGGGGAAAAAAAATAACAATTGCTGGAATGGGTGAACAGGCATAATGGATCATTAATGAAACTGTGAATTTATCCAAAAGAAAAAAGTCATTCCTTGACATATACTCCCAAAATGCCTTTTTTTTTTTTAAAGGGAAAGTAGTCATATACGCTACAGCTAGGTGGCACAGTTTATGGAAAACTCATCTTTGTGAGCTCAGATGTGACCTCAGATACTAGCTGTGTGACCCTGGGCAAGTCACTTCCTCCTGTTTGTCTAAGTTCCTCATCTGTAAATTGATCTGGAAAAGGAAATGGCAGACCACTCCTGTATCTTTGATAAGAAAACCCCACACAAGAGTCATGAAGAGTCAGACATGACTGAATAACAAAAAGTCATTTGTACTAAAATGCAGCAGCACCTTTTGTTGAAGCAAAGAGCTGGCAACAAAGAGGGGAACATGTGAACAAATTATGTTCTGGGAATGTAATGAATATTATTCTGTCATAGAATAGAGAAGCCTGTGAAGAATTGCATGAAATAAACAGGACCACGTAACATTATAAAGAAAAACAACTTTGAAAGACTTATGAGTTTAATCGATTCAGTGAACAGTCATGATTCCAGAAGACCAAAAATGAAGGATGTTTCCTACCTTTAACAGAGGGAAATAACATTTTAAGATACTGTTCAATGTGTGGATTTTTTTTTTTGCTTGACTATGCTTTCTTGTTAAGGGTGGGTTGTCATGATGTCAGAAGAAGAAAAAAAAACAGTAATTCACAAAACAATGAAATTCAGAAGGGGACATAAGAAAAATAGTTTTGTAACAAACATGTAGAATTTATTATATTTTTAAAATACAAACATACAGAATGGAGATCTTTATGTATGGAAATGTTTGTGTTTATTTGTCAAGTTCAGAATAATTAAAATTCTGAATATCAGGAAAAAAAATTTTAATAGGTTAGATGTACCCTTGCTGCATATGATATGTTGTAGAAAGGATTCTTGTTCATGTGTGGGTTGGATCAAATGACTTTCTGACATCCCTTCCTACTCTGAGTCTAAATTCTACATTCATTGTTGTTTTAATCATTTCAGACTTGTTCACTCTTTGTGACCCTATTTAGGGTTTTCTTGACAGAGATGCTGGAGTGGTTTGCCACTTCTCCAGCTCATTTTACAGATGAGAAAACTGAGGCAAGCAGGGTTAAGTGACTTGCCCAGGGTCACACAGCTAGTAAGTGTCTGTGGCCAGATTTGAACTCAAGTCCTCCTGACTCCAGGCATGCCACTTTATTGACTGCACCACTTAGTTGCCATTACATTCATTATTGAAAGACTTTTATTGCCATTTTATTGCACATTGATTGCCACCACTGATTTGTGGTATCCTTAGATCACTATTTTCAGATAACTAGATGGTTTTTCTCTTAAAACAGACTAAACAATGTACCCCTTTCAGGTTTGTAGTTTACCCACACTAAATATTTTTTATTCTTCAGTTGTCATTTTGAACCTAAATCCTTTAGCCTGCTATGCGTTACTAAGTATTGTAATAGAATCCTCTTACCATGTCTGCAAAATTGAACATGTAACTTCATGCCTATGTATAGGTTAGCTGTTCAAAATTAAGTTCTCTGGTGACTAATGTGCTAGCAAACAAGGATTGTACAAAAGCTTTTCCAGCCAATAAAATCTTTGTACTCTTCTCCCCAGTTACTTCCTTTACCGAAAGCACAAAAGATATTGTTAATACAACTAGTCTTGAATTCTTACATAGTCACATAGAGAGGATAGTTCCTCATCATTAATGGCAAGAGCCACATGGCGGTAGGTGACTCTGCTATCTAATTCTCCATGATTGTTTTCTAGGGAGTAGCTGGAGTTGCAGCTATCTAGCTCTGAACCTGCATGGCTTAACTCCTGCAGGCATATCATAAGAAAGCCAGGAAGGTACAGTTTGTGTTCTCCCCTTCCAGCACCATAATTTGCTTCTGAAGTAGATTTTTCTAAAGAAGGCAAGATATAGGGTTTTAGGAAGAAACCAAAACCAGCTAAGCGTATTTGCATGAAAAAACAAACTGATAATATTTGAAAAGTTATGTTTTGGTTCTCTACCATGCTCTCTGAATTTGACTCTATTCATGTTCATATGTATTTCAGGGGGTGAAGCCAGCCAGCTTTGACAAAGTAGCAATTCCTGAAGTAAAGGAAATTATTGAAGGATGCATACGCCAAAACAAAGATGAAAGGTAAGTGATTTGCTTTGAGACGTAGGTATTTGTATCATATAGACAAAGCACAAAAAAATGTTTTGAGCATAATAATGCCTAACTTCAAAAAAGCATATTTCACATCATTCACCTGCTAGCAAAGACAAATTTCTCATTAATATTTTGGGTTCGTTATTGAGTAACTTAGTAAATTATTGGTCCTGCTTGTTGTAATGCAAATTGACATAAAATTCTATGGTATACCACAGGCTAAATTATACCACCTGCCAACGTCCTTTTTCCCTTTTCTCCCACCGTTTTGTCCCTACCCTCAACCATATAGTATACTTTGGAGATAAAGCAAAAGTGGATTTCATCTCCTCAAAATAAATATACAGAGGGGTTCTATTTGTTAAGTTCAAGACTAAATATTTTATAATATTTTAAATTTCACTCAAATGCTAAATTCTGATGGGTAAAATAACCTTTTGGCTCTTTAAACTGAAATTTACAGGTCTTGAATCATTGCTGCCACTGTGCCAGAACAGAAAGGAACAAAACATCCAGTTTCCTTTCATTTGGGGGCGGGGGGGGATGGACTCTGCCTAAGGCTTAGGAGGAGATCTAGCTTAGTCACTTGTACTAACTGAAGACTTTTCTCAGAGGAGTGGCAAATAGATCTGCCATATGACTGACTCATCACCATTTGGGGTCTGGCTAAGATCCAATGTCTGTTTTTGAGTCAGTTAAATTATTTGTGTGTTGATCTTGTTCAGCCTAAGTCTGACGGTGGTTCAGACATGACAAATTAAATTTAAATTTAAATTTTTATCTTTTTCTTTAAAAACAACACCTTTTTTTTTTGTTTTTGTATCACTAAACTTCTAGTATCCCTCTCCTTCCCATTCTCATAAAGACATCCTATGTAGAATTTTTTTTTTTTTTTAAGAAAAGAGGAATGAGGCAAAAGGGAATCAACAAAACTGATCAATAAATCAAAAAAAGTCTAAATTCATAAGCAGTGTTCCACACCTAGTGGTTATATGGCCCTGCCCCTGCCACTCCTCACCTCTGTCAAGGAGTAGGCTTGTCTTCTCATACCTCTTTTTTGGATCCATGCCTGTTCCTTGTAATTGTGAATATTCACTTTGGATTGTTTTATGGTGGTTCATTTACATTGTTATAGCCATTATGTAATAATGTTTATCTTTTTCATAAAGATTGAGGGAATCTGATATGATATAGAGAAATTAATATCTTCACTTTACCATTCTCATATTGTAAGAGCTTTTAACATCAAGACTTTACAAACTACGAAGAAATTTTTAAAGTTAGGTGCCAGTTTTAAAAAGAGCTTCTTATAGGTGGAACAGAGCTATAAGAAGAATGGATTCTTTAATTTAAGAATGTTTTTATTCATTCCAAACTGATAAATATGTTAATAACATATGAAATAAAATGTTAATAAAATTGTGATGTTGGAATATATAGAACATTTTTTTGAGGCCAGGGTTTATAGGTTTTATTCAACAGTAATATTTTGTGTATTATAACTGATATGAAATGTTAATTGAACTAAATATATGTAGGAGGCAGCCAAGTGGCACAGATGGATAGAGTTCTGGACCTGGAGTCAAGAAAAACTGAGTTCAAATCCAGCCTCAGACACTTACTGTCTATGTGATTTTGGGCAAGTCACTTAACCTCTCTGCGCCCTAGTTTCTTCATTTATAGAATGGAGATGATAATAACTACTTCACAGAGTTGTTATGAGGATTAAATGAGATATTTGTAAAGTGCTTTGCAAACCTTAAAGCACTATTTAAATGCTAGATATAAATATAGAATGTACATATGTAGCTATTATTGATTATATAGTAATTGAAGTTGAATTATCATTTCTTACAGTTTTAGAGTGAATCACATTTTACAAGTCAAAAAAAGCCCCATATTAGTAAATTGGAGAAAATTTAAGAGAAGTTATTTTAGTAAAATGTAAGATTCTTTGAGAGCAAATCTGTCATTTTATGTTTGTATCGTCAGTGCCTAATAGTTCCTTTAACATAATGGGTACTTAATGTTTATTGATTTATGTTGGAAACGGATGAATTACTATGTTTGGTAGAAAGAATAAAGGATTCTGTCACATTGAGAGATTGTTTTACTTTTAATGCTTTTATTCCCTTCCTTTTCTCTAGATATGCTATCAAAGACCTTTTGAACCATGCCTTCTTCCAGGAGGAAACAGGGGTACGAGTAGAACTAGCTGAAGAAGATGATGGTGAAAAGATAGCCATTAAGCTATGGTTACGAATTGAAGATATTAAGAAGTTGAAGGGGAAGTACAAGGACAATGAAGCTATTGAGTTTTCCTTTGATTTGGAGAGAGATGTCCCAGAAGATGTAGCTCAAGAAATGGTATATAGTATTCTTTCTGCAACCATTCCAAAAATCTGTGTGAGATTGTGCAAATGACACAAAGTTGAGAAGGGTAACTAATATACTAAATGGTAGTCAAGATTCAGAAAGATCCTGACAGACCAGAAAATTGGAATAAAGAAATTTACAGGGATAAATGTAAAGTCAAGTACAGTATAAAGTCATGACTAAACAGTAGGTCATTTGAAAAAGACTTGGGCATATTTAGTGGCCTTGCAAGCCCAGTATGAGTCAGCAGTGTGATACAGTAGCTTAGAAAGCTAGTACAATCTTAGGTTGCTTTGAGAGGCATAGTCTCTAGGATTAGGAAGGTAAGAGTACTGTTACACTCTGCCCTCATCAGACCATGTCTGGAATATTGGGTTCAGTTTTGCAAACCACATTTTAGAATGGTCATTAGTAAGTTTTAGTGTGTTCAAAGCAGAGCAACCAGAATGGTACGTGTCTCAAGAATATGTCATATTAATATCAGTTGAAGAAATTGGGTATGTTTAATAAAGAGAAGAGAAGATTTGAGTGACCTGGGAGCTATTTTCAGATATTTGAAGGGCTGTCATATGGGAAAAGCTTAGCCCCAGGAACTAGAGCTAGGGTAATGGGTGGAAGGTGCAGAGCCAAATTTAGGCTTGAAGTAAGAAAAATCTTCCAAATAATTACAACTATCCAGAAATGGAATGAACTACTTCAGAAGGTAGTTAATTCCTCCTCACTTACGGTCTTAGGGCAAAGGCTGAATGACCAGTTTTCTATTATATTATAGGAATTTCTTTTTTGAAATGATTCTTTTCATTCAGTGTGAGAAAATATGTAAAACCAAGAATAGAAATATTTAAGTACTCTTAAGGACAATCACAAATAAAGGAACAGTAGCTTTTGATTAGAAAGACTAGGGCCAGTTTTATATATACATACACATACACACTCACAAACATACACTTGTATACTATAGAATCACAAGATTTTTGAGCTGAAAGAAACCTTCAGATTACCTCGTTAGCCGCACAGATTTGAATCGTACCAAAAAAAAAGCTATTTGTCCAAAAATATCTCTCCCAGCCAACAACAAGGCTTCCACAGTGCTTGAAATTGCCAACTTTGAAGCCTCTCCTTTAGACTAATGACCTTATTAAGATGTAAAGCTGTGGTACATTGGAACAATCACATATTAGCCCTCCTAATAACCCTTTGCATGTTTCTACTGATGAGTATGTAAGTCAAATTGGTCTTCTCACTGTACCTCATACACAGCTCTCCATTTCCTGTCTGTACTTTTGTTCTGTCTGTCCTACATGCCTGAAATGTACTGTCTCCTCTCCTCTACTTCTGGGAATTCCTGATCTTCTTCAAAACTCAGCTCAAGTGCCACCATCTACATGAGGCATTTTCTAATCCTTTCAAATGGCTAGCATCCTCCCCACCAAAATCTTATATATATTTTGTATACACAGGCATACATATATGTTGTTTTCTCTCAATGAATGTAAGCACCTTTAGGTCAAGAACTATTTGTTTTTGCTCTTTGTATCTCCAACACCTAGCATGGCTGGCATATAATAAGTGCTTAATGCTTGCTCACTTGATAAATGTTTTTCAGAAAGACCGTATCCAATGGAAATAAGACACAGAGCCAGCTATTTTTAATGAGGGCAGAGTACAAAGGAAAAGTCCAAGACAGTATGTTTCAGAAGGGTAAACCTGATTTAGGTATTGCAGTGCAGGGCCCTGGCAAGTACTTTGTATGTACTTCTGAGTTGAAGAGTACCTAAGGAGAGCTCTGCTAAATTCTCAGTTTTCCCTAAGACTAGTATTTGGAGCAGTTTCTTCCCAATCTAATCCTTCTTTTCTCCCCTTGATACTTCCTAATGTACTGTGTTGTCCTATAGGTAGAATCAGGGTATGTTTGTGAAGGAGATCACAAGACCATGGCCAAAGCCATCAAAGACAGAGTATCCCTGATAAAGAGAAAAAGAGAGCAGCGGCAGTTGGTAAGGGAAGAACAGGAGAAGAGAAAGCAAGAAGAGATCAGTCTAAAGGAGCAAGCTGAACAACCAACAACTGTTTCTCAGGCTGGGACCAAACCAATTCCTTCTACCACTGGCACAGTTACTGTCTCTACCACATCAGCCTCAGTTTCTACCCAGGTGGAGCCTGAAGAACCAGAGGCAGATCAACACCAACAGCTGCAATATCAACAACCTAGTATATCTGTGTTATGTAAGTATTTTTATAACAGAGTAGTTCTTCCAGTGACATAGCACAGTACCATTTTTTTTTGTTTCCTCTTCAGTAATCTTTTAATTTCAAATGGAATTAAAAGACATTGGCTTCTAATTCTAAGATAAAAGTTGAAATGAGTTGGATCTGGTTTTTCTTTCCTACTGTCATGAAATTGAACCCATTAATCTGCTAAATGCTCCATTTAACATGTTTAGACTCAATCTGTTACCTGGATGTAATTGGCCATGAACAAGTTTTTTAATTGAAGTACTAGTAAACAATTCACACCCTATAAAACATCAGTTGTTGGAAGACTGAAAATTATGTAAGTTTGAACTAAAGTTAACTAGATAGAAGGGCAGTGTGGGGTAATGTATAAAGAGCCAGCCCCAGAGTCACAAAGACTCGGGTTCAAGTCCTGTCTCTTATACATACTAGCTGTGTGAAACTTAACTTATCTGTATCCCATATAACTCTGTAAGATTCAAAATGGCAAAGAAGGTGCAGAACTCAATTGGTAGAGGAAAGTTCTTTGCCAAGAAACTCCCTACACAGATAAAATCATAGGTTCTGACTAAATAAAGAAAACCTAGTAAATGCCGTTCTGTAACCCAATTCAGACAGAGAGAGAGTAGTTGGAATGAAAGTTTTGCTTTTTTCTCATAGTTGAAAAGGATAGTAAGCATTGATTAGAGGAAATTTTCCATTTTGTCTCAATTCAAGTCACTGTTAACAACTGTTTGCTGAACACTGTAAGAAGCCAGTACTTTAACAATACAGACTTGAATTCACATTTCTGTGGTGCTTTGAGGTTTACAGAGTGCTTTCCTCCCTATCCAGCGAGGTCTGTACGATGAGGAAACTGAATCTGACAGAGGAAGTAACTTGTCACTAGTTGTCCAGGTATAAGTGGAAGTACCAGGATTTGAGCTCAAGTTCTTCATGACTCCAGAATGCTTTTTCACACTGCCGCTAATAATTCATTTTATGGAACACTCTTACATATTGGTATCTGTACCTTTCTAGATGATCCTGGCTTTTAAAACTTTTAACGTGCTTTGTAAATGTGAGTTATAGTTATTATTAACAACTTTATAACAGTCTTATGAGGTCAGGAGTATAATATTATACATCTATTATATACCAAGCAACAAGAATACAGAAGACTTAAGTGACTTGCTTGTGGGCATAGTTCATCTTCGAACCAGGCAGGATTCAGACCTAGATTTTTTTGACTCTAAGTTAGTCGACTTCTTCAAATTGCCTCTTTTTGTGATAGAAGCTGATTACTGACATAAAACAGGATAACATTAAATTAGTTGGGCGTGTTAGAAGTTTTCTGAGCTTTTTTATCTCTGTGTGAAATTTCTTGTTATTCCCCTAAGCTGATGGAACAGTTGACAGTGGTCAGGGGTCTTCAGTCTTCACAGAATCTCGAGTGAGCAGCCAGCAGACTGTCTCATATGGGTCTCAACACGAGCAGGCACTCTCAACAGGCACGATCCCAAGCTATACAGCTTCTGTTGTTCAAGCACAATCCCAGCCCCATGGTGTATATCCTTCCTCCACAGTGGTAAGTAAAAGTGTAAGAAACTATGTCATTATATTTACAGGAGAAAAACTCCCAGGGTCAGTCTGTCAAGATACCAACATATATTAAAAGAAAAAAAAGTGAGCCATGATATACATAAACTGTCACATACCCTAAAGAAAATAAAGCTTTTGGTGCGTAATATGATTGTAGTGATGAGTGAACAGGTTACTTAATCAGCTTAAACCCTCCAATTATAGTAACAATACCTAAGTAAATATATGACCAAGCTCTAATCACAATAATATAGTGCTTTTACTGGTAAGGAACAGTCAAATCAAAATTGTTTTAAGAATCAGGAACTGTGAAAGCAGTTGATTGGGGGAAAAAAAAAGCTTTTTTCAGAAGTGTTATTTGTTAAGCATTTTTTTGTTAGATTTCTTATTGTGGAAGTCACAGGTAAGCAATTTATATAGAATGCTGCATGTGAGCACTCCAGAATGAACAGATCCCATGTTTGCATTTCCATTTTATTTAGTGCTTGTGTTTAGTTTATCATAAATTGCTGTGCATATTCCTTCCTTGGAAAGTCTGTGGGGCACAAATTCCTTCCCTACTGTATATTTGCCTTTTTCTCCCCCTTTATTTGTTATCCTTTTTACTACTTGTTCATTTTCAGAATTGATTTATGGGGGCTATTTTCTAAAATATTGTATGTACATACATATATGTATATCTTACAGATACATTATTATCCCTGGGGTCACTATCTCTCTTAGCCCCTTCCGTCTAATTTGGAGACCATTTTCAGATATATTTGGAGATAATGGCACATGCCGTGAGTCTCCGAGGTCCTTTGAATTTTCTGTGGATCTTAGCAGTTGTATGTTAGTTATACACACACACACACACACACACAATGAGTATTAATGGTATTACCCTATCATCTGTCTCAAAAGAGCCATTGGTTGCAACACTCCTTTATTTATTTACATCTGTAAGCAAATAGCCAGTCTCTCCAAATTTTTTCAAAAGGCTGTTAATGTTCCAGTTTGTAGTATTCTTGACCTTTATTAAATGTGTTTTTCATTAAATTGTAGAAGGTTCTTTTGTTTGTTATGGTTTCTTATTCCAAAGTATGTGGAATAGAGGGATATGGCTTGTATCATAATCTTTTCAAACAGTCTTGACTTGATTGGCTTCCAAGTTTTATGGCCACAATAATGCAAAGGAAGATACTAACCTTCTGGTTTTGAACAGTTCGGTTTTAAACTCAAGGGAAAAAAAAGAAAGTAAATGGTTGGAAGAGCTTCAGAAAAGCTGTTTGAAAATTGTTCTTATGCCCTTTATATTTCTAGTTTCCATAAGTATGCATTCAGCATTTTTTGTCTGAACTTTTTTGGATGTTAAAATTTAATTTTAACATCCTGTAGAATGTAAGCTCCTTGAGGGCAGGAACTGTTTAATTTTTGTCTTTGTATCCCAAGTATTTATCACAGTGCCTTGCACATGGAAGACATTTAAGTATTTATTGAATTGTTTTAGTTTTTGTTGAGAAATGTAAGGGAGAAAGAAGTTCTTGGCTATAAGTCTGTAGTCTACATAGAAAAAATTAATTTTAAAAAAATCACATGGCTGTTATTCTCATGTTTCCAATTTTATTCTAATTAATTTTTCTTAACTAAATTTCTAACCTACTGGTTTCATTTGCCATAGGGTTGTGCAACATTGGGAGTTGAGTTTAAAAGAAGTAATCATTTATGATCTTTAACTTTTGATTCATAGACACAGCCTTGGTAGTTGTGATCATTAGGCAGGAATCTCTTTGCCTTTGAACAGTTTCTAGTAGTATAGTAAGATTTTGACATCTCTGAAGTGATTGTTAAAAAAAAAAAAAACTAAAACGAACTTCATACTATTTGATTCTTAACTACTTTAGATTTGTATAGTACGTTTTCTCCTAACGAGCTCATACCACTTAAATTATATTGATTCTTGCCACTTAGCCTGTGAAGCATTGAAATGACAAACATTAATTTCTCTTTGAAGATGAACAGCGACTGTTTTGTTAAACCAGTAAAGCATTCTGTTTGTATTTAGTTGTGTGTTATTTCTTAAAGCTAAAATTTTCCTAGTATGAGATAGCTTTCTTTCTCTCCCAGCATGCATACAATAAAAATAATATATTTTTAAGTGTGATGTTTCCTAATAAGCATAAGCTTCTCCCAATGTATCCAACATCATTGCAGATTTGATCCCTATGGAATATGCAGTGCAGGTGACTTTTTCTTATGTGTTCTTGAAACAAACCTGCAGACCCCTCAAATGCATACATTTAGTGTGTTTCCTGTCTTTACTGCATCCTTCTGTCAATTAAAATCATTCTTGTGCATTCACAAGCAAGAGGATAGTAGAGTCAGAATATCCTAGAGGGTAATTGGGTATTTGCCTAGTAGCATATGAAGCAACAGACTTTTATGAACCTTCCTGGATGGAAAGGGAGCAGCAGTGAGTTGTCACCCCAGTGATTTATTGTCAGGTGAATTTACCTAGCTTGCTTCATGAGTAGTCCAACTAATATTGACTTGAGTAGGGATTGTTACCTTCTCATCCCAACTATGCCCCATTTCTGTTACACATTTCGTTGTTGTTATTTTTTCTCCCAGGATACTGTATTTATCTTCATTTTTTGTTTTCTATTTAGCCTCATCGTGATCGTAGCATGTTGGTTTGTGTTCCCCATCTTTCTGCTGTTCCCTTTATGTCCTGCATCTCTCCCATTGTTCCTTCTACCCCACCACCAGTGCTGTCTGCACCTCTTTCTCCTTCCTACTTTCGGACTGCCCCTGAAGAAACATTTGCTGAAAAACTTTCTAAGGCATTGGAGGATATCCTGCCTCTGCACTCTGCCTCTCCACGCAAGCACCGACGCTCCAGCCTGCCCTCCCTCTTTGTCAGTCCTGAATGTTTCCCATAGTTCCTGGAAAAATGAAGATAAGTCCCTATTAAATACATCCAGGTTTTTAGAATTTTAATAAAAATGGAGCAGAGATTGGAATAGACAGAAATGTAACATTGTATTTCTGGAGTTTCTGTTGCTTTTATAGTAAGTTTATTTCTGGGGTCATAATTTAGTTGCAATCCAACTTTGAAGACTTAAAAATGTGATTAATGATAGAGATCATGTAGGAACCCTATTTATCTTCCACCTTAAGCTGAAAGGGAAGAACAAATCTAGTCAATGTTGCAGATTTTAGATCTGCCAAAAAGGCTCACTTATCCAAAACTATTAGTACCTTCCACCAATTTAAGGCCTACTACAGTGACTGAAATTGCCACTATTGGGGTCACTCCTTTGGAATTAAGGCCTCTATTAAAATGTAAAGGTATTACCGAGAGAGATAACACAGACCTCCTAATAACCGTTAATATTACCACATATTATTGCATCAATTTAGCTTTTTAACAGAAAATATAATGTTCTCCCTAAGGGAATAGAAATCAGAACCAGTTCATTCTTATTGAGGGATGAAGAGGGAAGATTAGAAAGGAAAAATGTAGAGCATAGAGTATCTTCCATTTTCCTTTCTCCCCACAAACATCATACACATCCCATCAATTTTGCAGAGTCAAACTAGATGAACTGGTAATTCTATTAAAAACTGTCAGCTTATGGTTGGCTTGTTTGAAATTAAATATAGTCCAAATTCGTAATTTTGGAACAAATTTCAGGTTACTCAGGTAATATTCATTTTTTGGATTTTCTCCCTGTTTGATTGTAGAAGAAAGCCATCATTAAAAACTGACTACAGTCTGTTATTTTCATAGAAAAATTTGCCTAAATAAGATTGACTTAAGAGGTAGAATTACTTAGGTATTTCAGTAAAACAGAAAGGTAAACACTATTGTTTCCTTACAAAAATATTCCTCTTTGGTTTGAAGAGGAATTGAAGTTCGATCCCATGAAATTGACTTCCAGAGTACATGACATGTGGTTCACTTTTACCTTTATAAAGGTGCTACTACTTTTATAGGGAGGGAATGAAGTAAATATTCTGATACAGGCACCAAAAGATTTTTCACGAAGAACTGTGTTCTAAAGATAAATAGTCTCATCGTATTTTTTTTTAGAGTTGGCACCCCACAGTAGGTTCTCTCATTTCTAAAAGATCATCTAGGAATCTGAACAAATGCCCTCCAGGAACTGACATTGTAGGTGCTTCTACACCACTATTGAAGTCTTAGTCCAATGGAAGAACATAGGATGAATTTTTTTTTAAGTCACATACTAAAATGAGTTGCCTTAGCCTGCACTTTGTTTTGATCATTATGCTTGCTTGAGTTTTGTCAAATATAATTTATAGGATCAGTGACTTTAGAGTTGGAAATTATCTTAAAGATATCTGACCCAACCCCCTCATTCTCAGGTCACATGGGAAGTCTCTTGCAGAACAAGAATTGGAACCCTGGCTCTCTGACTCCAAATTCTATACTCTTTCCTCTACAGTTGGTCACATCACTAATTTTACATTTTCAGAGCTGAAATTAAAGAATTGTTACTTCTTACTAGAAGTGCCACATAGTATATTATTCCTTAAGCAAATATTGTATTTGCTTATTATTGGGTACCAAATACTATGATCACAAAATTCATGCATGATTTTTAAAACCTTGTCTAAGGTTTTAAAAGTACACTCTAGTGTTTTATACTCTGTACACTCTACTGTTTTATACTCTGTGTACTGTTTCATTATGGATCTACTGACTTCACCCTACACTAGTTTGAACAGTATAATGAAAAGTACTTATTGTCCAAATTAGGCATGTTAGAGTTTTGCCCCATTTAATGGATGTTAGAACATGAGCTCCTTGAGAGTTAGGTGCTGCCTTTTCTATCTGTATCCTTAGCTCTTAGTGTAGTACTTTGCATATAGTAAACACTTAAAATGCTTTTTTCATTTATTTACATATAATATAGGCACCAAGCATAGGAAAACCAATTCATGTGATATTTCACTATTACTTTCAGGAGATAGCACCATACCCTCACAGTTTTCTTTACAACCTATATAGACTCCCTTTCCTGCAATTCCATGCTTGATAAGATAACAATATTGAAGCCTATAAGATAGGATAGGATAATAATAGAAAATTAGAAATGTGGAAAGATTAAATACAGGAGTTGGAACTGAAGCACACTTTCCATGTTATCCTTTAGGGTAACTTTCATTTATTCTCCATTGAGGCTACTCTTGTTCCATTAATTATTAAAGCTTATAGAATACCAGTGAATAGTGAACAAAATGATCACTTATAAATAAAACTCTAAAACTATGATCCTATAATCTCCATGGTTGGGTGTTTGGGGTTTTTTTTCCCATTCCCTGTTGACAAGGAAAGGGAGGTTATAATTGGAAAAGCAGTATCTTACCAAAGCAAAGACTCCCATTTGTCCATTTTGTCCTGGATGTATTTAATAGATATTTATACCATTTCTATAACTTTCAAAAACACATATTTGTCTTGCTAATCTTAATTTGGAGCAGCAATTTCATAAAGTTATGCAGAGCTGCTGTTGAGCAAGCTATACATGTTTAATGTAATTTCATGTCTAAATGTATGAATTACTTGTCTTATTCATGTTGATACAGCCTCAGTCCATGGTGCATCCGTGTGGGGGGACCCCAACATTCTCAGAACCACAGATATTTTTCCCAACCATTCATGAGCGTCCCGTCTCTTTTTCACCTCCTCCTACCTGCCCACCAAAGGTGGCCATTTCTCAGCGTCGCAAGAGCACCTCCTTCCTGGAATCCCAACCCCGCCACTGCCAGCCCCTGCTGAGGACTCTTGGCCAAAACCTTCGACCTGCTAGTAGTAGCCCAACTAATTGGACTGCAGAGGCAGTGGTCATGTTGGGTACTGCAGCCACTAGGGTTACTGGAGAGCCACATGAGGTACAAGTTCATCCTGTGTTTGAACCAACTCAAATTTATAGTGACTATAGACCTGGACTAGCCCCTCCAGAAGAAGCTCACTATTTGATGCCTCAGGAAACAGTATATCTAGCGGGGGTACATTACCAACCCCAGGGAGTGGAACACTATGATGGCATAGCATATAATTCCCCAGTGCTGTCAAATCCTACAAAGCAAATTCATGAACAGAAGCTAATACAAAGTGTTCCTCCCTCAAGTTCTGTCTTTGAATTTCCAGCTGGTCAAGCTTTCCTGGTAGGACACCTTCAGAGCCTGAGGCTAGATTCTGGAATAGGTCCAGCTTCTCCCCTGTCAAGTATCTCTGCTCCTGTCAGTGCAGATGCTACATGTTTGAAATTTCACCCAATTTTTGTTCCGCATTCTGCACCTGCTGTGTTAACTCATAGCAATGAGGGCAGAACTGGCTGTGTATTTGAATTTCATGTTCATACACCAAGCTCTTCCTCTTCAGGAGAAGGAAGCGATGCTTTATCTCAGCGTGTTTACCGGAGTCTTCAGGGGACCACTGACTTTAATCAGGAAGGGCCTTCTCTTCAGCCAATTGGATTGCATGGTCGCCTACAGCCTGTGACTGAAGAACAGTATAATTACCATAGTCCAGAATTGACTGTTCCCACTATGGAGCCCAGACAGAATTGGCCAGTTGGAAGCCCAGAGTACTCCAGTGATTCATCACAATTGACATCTTCTGATATAGGAGATTTCCAGTCACCTCCCCCTACAGGGGGAACATCTGCACCTTTTGGCTCTGACTTCTCATTGCCCTGTATCCATCTGCCTCAGACAGTGTTACAAGAGTCCCCACTTTTTCTCTGCTTTTCCCAGGGTACCACAGCTCAGCAAGCCTTATCAGCTTCACTCTCTTCAGGAGGATCTACTCTCTATCCTCAGGTTATAGGACAAACTGTTGCAGAATTTTTTCTTTAATAAGTTTTTACTACTCTATTAAGTACCATTATCATTCTTAAAGTTTCTTTTATTCAAGGAATGTTGAATCTTGGAGCTGAGAAAACTTTCACTTTGTTTTTAATAGTATGTTGGCATTTGTAGTTGAGTATAGGTTATAAGGCAAAACTCTCACCCCTCCCCCATAAGAATGAAGCATGAAAAGCTGCTAAATATACCCATAACATAACAGATCTTTGGAGATGGAAACACATAAACTGAGCAATAGACTAACGTTTTTTCTAGTGATCCACTTGGTCAGACCCCATTATCTTATATCTATACCTACTGGAAACTCTTGTTTAGAGTGGAAAAATGTAAATTGCTACAATTAAGAATTGAACTACATCTTGGAAGGATTAAACCTATGTGATCATGAAATATTTCTTAACAGTAGTCATGTAATATAAAAATAATGGAGAATTTTGTTTGTGTTACAGAAAGAAACTAATTCTAGCTTTATGCTTTCCTGTGCATATACTTTAGAGGGACCTTTTTTTTTTTTTTTTTTTTTAAGGAGAGGGGTTAAGGGAATACCAATTTTTACATAGTCAGAAAACTTTAATTGAATTAAAAGAGGGTTGTAAAATATGTGAAACATAGTGTTTTTTTTTAATGTACAACCAATTAATAAAAGAACATTTCTTTAAAACACCAACAAAACCAGTCAGTATAATACATCCAAAGTGATACTTCAAAATGAAGGAACATTGTTAGCATTGGCACCTAAGCCAGTAGTACTTGGTGGTGCTGGGTTACAAAGAATTTTCGAGCTATAAATAGCATATGATTGTGCCCTGTTTGACTATTTAAAAAGACAAAAGAGATAGTATTTTCAATGAGTGTCACAAAATTAAAATATTATTATATGTAATACTCTTCCATATAAGACCAAGGTAATCTAAAATGGGGGAAAACTGGTTAGTATTGCACAATCCATAGATCTCCTTGATAAAAACATATCACATCTTAGGACACTGTAGAAACATATCTTGGATTTTCTTTTAAATACTACCCTTTTAAAGAATATAAACTGTGATTCTTGTATTTCTTTGTTAGCTCAAATCTAGTAACGCAGGGATGGTTTCAATATGAGTAATCTAAGGAAACTTCCATACCCATATGACTTAGGACATTATTAAAAGGCAAAAAAAGTTATGGAAGTCTGAAAATCATAGGATACTAAAGCAGTATTTTCTGCTGTTTTATTACATCTTAGAAAATATGCATATGGAAAAAACACATAGGAAAGTCTTGGCTTTTATGACAACCTGATATGTGCCAGGTTAACTCAAGAGAGCTGATATAAAAACTGTTTTTTGTTTCATCATCATAATTCTTTCAGTTCTCAACAATCTTCAGGATTACAGTTTTGAAGGTAGAAGGTTAGTCAGAAGGGTTGTAATAAGGGACAGCTAGGTGGCGCAGTGGATAGAGCACCAGCCCTGAAGTCAGGACAACCTGAGTTCAAATCCGGCCTCAGATCAAACACTTGACACTTACTAGCTGTGTGACCCTGGGCAAGTCACTTAACCCCAGTTGCCTTAAAAAAAGGGGGGGGGGTTGTAATATTTAGTGTTCTTGTATTGCAAAGAGGGATAATGTCGCATAGTCAAAAGAAGAATGCCAAAAGAAAATGCAAGTGGGACTGGCATCCTAAAAGTGATGAATGCCATTACCTTTCCTTAGTCTACTTTGTATAGTCATCTCTTGCTTACTTTTTTTTAATCTCTTGTCTACTCATTCAAACTTCTCATCTTTATATTTAACTTGAAACTTTTTAAAGACTGAGACGTTTTATATATCCACAACAGCTGATTACATTGATAAACTAATAACATCTTTGATTTAATGCTTTGTACTTGTCACCTGGTGACCCTTTCCTAAATAGCAAAAAGAACCAGCTTAGTGGTTTTGCCTACTCTTTTTATCTTATCTAGTTTCTTCAATATAAAAGTAATTCATGGTATTAATCTAATCTTTCACTTTTTCTTGCTTTAAAAAAAAACTTCCCCAAATTTTTTGATAGGAATTGTTTAATATTTCTGTTATCGTTACTTGGTAGCAGTTTAAGGTATAGATCAGAATCATAGAAAATACTGATAAGTTAACTTTTCAGCCATAGATCAATTGTATAATGTCAGAATATATTCTAGAAAATTATAAACCTTCTCTATACTTTCTTTGCCCCAAAAAACTTATCCAGTGTAACTAATTTTTCTTTAAGATTTTTCTCATTTTAGTTTTTATCTACTTCTTTTCTCCAGACACAGGCACAGAGCCAGAGTCATCTGGCTTCAAGTAACTTAACTGGGATTCCATCTTCCCAAACAGCACAACATGCACAGCAGGTATGAATGTCCTTTTAATACATAAGGTTTATTTCGGAATTACGAATAAGCAGCAAATGACACTACAGTTCTGTACCAGTTCCTGAAAATCTTTAATGATTTGTGTTCCTTTTTTCAAGTGACAAATGTAGAGAGGAAAGTAATAATTATAATGCCATTTTACTGTTATATATCTTAAAAGTAGTCAGAATCAACTTGCAATACAATTTAAGGCTAGTCTGTGAAACTCTAGTTAATACTTCATAATATTTGTCATGTTATTCCATATAAATGATTTTTCCAAATGGGTGAAGTTTAGCCTACAAAGCACCAAAAAGGTGTGGTACCTGAGGCAGGACATGTAGGACCTGAAATTCATCAAATTGGAGATCTTGGGAGGATTGGCAGACTTGGAATCAATAAGGCTTGGGCTCAGAGAATCATTATAGGAAGTGTACAGGAAGGGCTTTTGGCAGTATTTTCAGTAGCTTTAAACAAGATGGGCACATGAATGCTAGTTATATTCAGGATAATAATACAGGTTTTCCAGGAGCTGAAGTCCATTAGACCAACATTAGGAAATAAAGCCAGAGTCAAGGCTGGGGCTATCCCAAGACTTTTAAGAAATTAACTCCACCTTCTATAATAAATAATTCCTGGGTTTTTTTTCTTTCTCCATTTATAGGACTCTTTGCAGCAATAACAGTGAAAGTCAAAGAAGTTTGTTCTGTTGTATCATACATTAGGCTGTTTTTAAAGAAATGTAATGAGTTATCTTTCATTTTTTAAATGCTATAATATTTAGCATGATTTTGAATCTTTTCAAATTTTCGTATCTCCTTTCCTATTGGTTGTTATATTTCATTACCATCACTAAATATTTCTTCTGACTCTATCTCCTTCCTTGTTTCCTTCTAATTATGTTAGTAAATCATATAACTAGGTCAATAACTATGTTAGAGTAAGGCTGTGAGTGCTAAAGATCCTCTTTGTGATAGCCCTCACTTTCAGGTTCAGGGTATTGTTCAAAACTTGGATAAATGGGATGCTAATATACGAAGATGAGTATAAGTTGTTAATGTCTAAAATAAATATCTATGATTAGCCATTATTCACAATACTGATAATGGTTTGTAGTAATCTAATCTAGCTACAGTACAACTACATATCTTTCATTAACAACTCTGTAATCTACATATACTTAAGTTTCAAAAGACTTAATAATAGTCCACATGTAATATACAGAATCACACAGTTTGTGTGAGGTTTTTTGGTTTTGTTTGCTTGTTTTGTTTTGATTTTATTTTTTGACACTAGGTCTCCCAGGGTGGAAGTGAACAGCTTCTCATGGGCCCGGTTGTACTACTGATAGAAGTAAGAGCTTTGATCTGCTCTGTTTCCAACCTGGGTCATTTCAGTCCTCTTTAAGCAGCCTGGTGGCCCCTTTCTATCCAGGGCTCATTATATTGGTACCAGTCTTAGTGTAGACACCCAGTTGTCTTAACCCACTACAGCTCAGAATATCTGTGCACCAGCCTCACCCTCCCCACAATCAGGGGTTTCCGGCTTGTGCCACCATGCCTCACTGAATTACACAGTTTGAAAGGATCCTAGAGGCTATTTAGTCCAACCTGTATTTGACCAAATTTACCTTCTTTAATATTGTCAAAAGTACTCAATCCAGCTTCTAAATGAAAATCTTCAGGAGAGGATAGTCTAATTTTTGGACAGTTTTGATTGTTTGGAAATCTTTCCTTAAATCAAGTCAAAATTTGCCTCTCTGCACCTTCCATCTGTTGCTCCTACTTCTGTCCTCTGTATGCAAAAAGAACAAGTCTAAATCTTTAAAATACTTGAAGGCAGCTGTCATATTCCATGTCCCCCACCAAGTCTTCTCCAAGCTAAACCACCCAAATTCCTTTAACTAAATCTCAGGTGCCATCTTCTTCATGTTCTTTGCCATCCTGGCTGGTCATATTCCTCTGAATAATTCTTCTATTTGTCATTGATCTTCCTGAAATGTGATGCCCAAAAGTAACCACAGTTCTCCCAGAAAAACTATCACCTTTCTCAGTGCAGCCTAGAATAATACTAGGGGTTTTTTTTGTTTGTTTTTGTTTTTGTTTTTTACTTTTTTCTACACTGTTGATTCATATTGAGCGTGCAGTTCACTGAAATCCCTAGACCTGTTTTCCAGAAATTTATCTAGCCATAACTTCTTCATTCTATACTTGTACATTTGATTTTTAAAAATTGAATATAATGCTATACGTTTGTCCCTGTCAGATTTCATCTAGTTTGTCAAGATCTTTTTGCATATTTGGGTTTTTGTGATACTTTCCCAAGTTTCAATCTCACGTCACCAACTGCCTACTGAATAATTCTACTGGGATGTGCCCCAGGCATTTTAAGGTCAACCTTTCCAAAAAGAATTACTCTTCCTTCATAATTACTCTTCCTTAACCTGTCCCTCTTCCAAATTTCCATTTCAGTCTGAAAAACTATCACCCAGATTCAAAGGCAGACCAGAATATAAAGTACCATCGTCCTAGAACCATCTATGTGTTTTACCTCCTGGTGGTGTGGGCAGTTTTATACACACACACACACACACACACACACACACACACAGATACATATGTATGTATGTATGTATGTGTATATATACGTCTTGGTAGTTGATCCTGTATTTATTAAACACTTACTAGGTTTGGGGAATAAAAAGACAACAAATAACTCCTTTGTTAAAGGAACTTGTATTTTAATGGGGGAACAGAACACATAAAAAACATAATACAAGGAAACCTTGGATGGGGGACGAGGGCATGTGAGGGGGGTATTTGGACATGTTGAGTTTTAAATGCTTTTGAAATATCCAGTTTAGAAATAAGATATACAGGAAATGGGGTATAGAAATCTATCCTGCCCTACAGGAAAATTGAAGGGGAAGAGGATAAGAGGAGGGGAGAGATAGAAGGCAGGGCAGATTAGGAGAAGAGGTATTCAGAATGTATGCCATCTTGGGGTGGGGGGGAGGGACAAGATGGAGAGAAAATTTGCAACTCAAAATCTTGTGGAAGTGAATGTTGAAAACTAAAAATAAATTAATTTTTAAAAAAAACATAATTTTTTTTTCTAAGAAGAAATATCCAGTTTAAAACTTCTACCAGGCAATTGAAGATTTGGTACTAGAACTCAGAATAGAGAGTACTCTCCAGAAATACATATATGAGTGTCACCTACATAGAGATGGTCATGAAACCCATGGGAGCTGATAATATCAGCACATGGGAGAGTATAATGAAAAAAGAGAAAAGCACTCAGGAGAGGGCTTTGGAGTATAACCACAGTTAGGAGATGTGATTTGGTTAATAGTCCAGCACAGGAGCTTAAGAAGGAATGGTCAGACAGATAGGAGTGAGGAAAGAAGAAAGCAATGTTACAAAAAACCCAAGGACAAAAGAATACCTAGGAAGAGATATTATCACATGAAGTAGAGAGATGAGGTTTGAGGAGACCTTAGATTAATACAGTTAAAAGATTATTATTAACTTGGAAGAAAGAAGCTTCAATTGATCAGTGAAGTTAGAGAAGCCACATTGCAGAGAGGAGAGGTAGAGGCAGCAAGTTGTAGACAGCTCTTAAAGGAGTTTGACTAAGAAGGGAATAACATGGGTAGGAGAGAAGATAGATTTTTGTTCTTTAAAAAAATTAACTTAATGGGAAGCAATATGAAGGATAATAGCTTATAGGGATCATAGGTTCTATTGAAGGTTTTTTTTTTTTCTTTTGGTGAGGGGTGACTTTGTAGGCATCAGAGAAAGTACCAGTAGATAGGGAGAGATTGAAGATTAAAGAAGAGATGGAAATAATAGTAGGAACAATCTTCTGGAGAATACTGAAGGAGAAGGGATCCAAAAGTATGTGTTAAAAGATGTTGACCTTCACAAAGAGGCACCTCTTCATTAGATGCTGGAGTAAAAGAGATGTAAAAATAGAGAATGTCAAGAGGTTCTGAGGTAAGGGGAAAGGGAAAAGAGGGAGCTCATAATGAATGGCCTCTGTTTTCTCATTAAGATATGAAATGAGGTCCTAGTGTGGAAAAGTTTTGATCAGTTACTATGGTGAATAGGATAAAGTACCAATTAGGAAGAAATAAAAGAATTGCTTTGTTGCAGTGAGGGTGTTGTTGAGATTCGGTAACATTTGTTGGGGACGACTTCTAGCTCAATTTAGCAGTCCATGTTTAGGAGCAGAAGAGGCAGGTGGTGGAAATAATCCAGATTTAGGGTTTGGCAAGACATACGTAGCATTAGAATAAAGGAGCAAGGGAATTGATAGTACAGAATTGAACTGGTTAGCTAAAGGGTAGGAATTACTAAAGGGAGGAGAATGTACCTGGAGCTGGGATGATGCCTTGGAAAAATACAGAAGAATAAAAAGATTGAAGGTCAGCTTCTTTGTTATTTTGAGCAGAAAACTGTTGTCACGTGTGCTTCACTTGTCAGTCATTACTGCTTTTTAAGGAGAATTGAAATTATCTTTATGCATGAAACTTCTCTAAAGGCCTTAGGGAGCACATTTCCTTGAAAATATGTAAATAATAACCTGGAATAAAGCTCGTTCTTTCCCTTTTCAACAATAGGGTGTACAAGCAGCCCCTTCTCAGCAGACAGGGCAATATCTTCTTCCCCAGTCAGCCGCATCTGGTGTAGCTACAACTGCACAGCCAGTGACTCAGCCTCAGCTTCCACAGGTCTTGCCAATGCCTCAAGTATCAGTTGGGAAGCAGGTAAGTCCTTAAATTCTGATGTGAACAGTTATCTGCATGTAGCTTGGACTTTGAAAGGTTTATGTCTTCTTCCCTCATGATGAAATGCCAGCTAAAGAGAGTGTTTTTATCCCAAAGTAAAGTGGAATTTGCTTCCTTTGTGCATTGTTCCTGTGGATCAAAATACGCTAAAGCAAGAACAAAGGAGACTTCTAGAACTCTTAGAACTGTCTGCCTAAAGCAGATGTGACAGCCTCTTGGTAAAGAAGGAAATAGGATGGTGGAACTTCTATAAGATTGTTTGACAATATTTTTATTGATCTGGACTCAAAATTCATTTCTTGTCTAATATTACATTTATTCTATATATTGGTGGCTGAAATACCCAGTGCTCTAGATTGTAGACTACATAGAAATTTTCGTATCTAAAAGTTAATCTACTTCCTTCCTGGTATTCCATTTCCAGGACCATAGTCTGCATACACTGCATTTGTCCTTTCCTTGTTTTTTTGCTAATTGCTTCCATGCATATCTTCTTAAGGATCACACTAAAGAAGCTGAAGTTATTTTTGTTGCATGTCTTTTGTTTTGTTTTCCCCAGTTCCATTAATACTTGCTATGCTTTACAACAATTTCTTTTATTGTATGTTGGCACAGTGGTTTGTCACCAGTTTGTTCATTAACAGATACTGAGGAAAAAAAGTTCAAGGCACCATCAGTATTAGACCAAAGATCCTGAAAGCAAAGTGAACCAAGTCAGTGACTTCTTACTAGAGACAGAAGAATGTTTTGCTTAAAAGAAGTTTTGATTTGGAACATATATACAATTTTTTTTTTATGGTCAGTCTGATTGTATTTACAAATCTGGTCAATGTCAGTAAAACTATTTGTGAAATAGTCACTAATAGTTTCTTAGTGCCTAGAAAGAAAACAATAACAAAATTCCCCGAAAATATAACCATTTGGGACAATAGTCACTCTGCCAGCTATTTTTCTAACAGTAATCCCCATCCTGTTCTTTGGTGACATTGGTACTAGAGTTTTTTAAGTTATTTTCTTCTTTTGGCTAATAAATAAATCTTTCTTTTGGCTACTTTACTTCCTTTAAAAAGAGGTCTGTCTATTTTTTCTTTACTTTCCCAGCTTCCTGCTTCCCAGCCATTATCAACCATCCAAGGCGAACCTCAGATACCAGTTGCAGCACCTTCCCTTCCACAGCCCTCAGTTACCCCATCTCTCTCTGGTGCTCACTTCCTTCCCGTGGGCCAGCCACTTCCAGCACCCTTACTCCCTCAGTTCTCAGTCTCTCAGATTCCCATATCAACTCCTCATGTCTCTGCGGCTCAGACAGGTTTCTCATCCCTGCCAAACTCTATGGCATCTGGTATTAACCAGCCTCTGCTCACCTTGGCCTCATCTGCTGCAGCGGCTGCTATCCCTGTGGGATCAACTGTGGTCCCTAGTCAGCTTCCCACCCTTCTGCAGCCTGTGACTCAGCTGCCAAGTCAGGCTCACCCACAGCTCCTTCAGCCAGCAATTCAGTCCATAGGAATACCAGCTAACCTTGGACAAGCTGCTGAGGCTTCACTTCCCTCTGGAGATTCTCTATACCAGGTATTGTGCTAGAGTAAGCAAAAATCCAGGGTCAGTTCTTTTAGAGCCCAGGCCTGACCTCAAGATTATAGTTACATGTGGAGATCCATCTGGAGGAAAAGATATGCATAAGTCCTTTAAAGAACTAAAAGCAGATGGTAGGGGCAACTAGGTGGCGCAGTGGATATTACTCCAGCCTTGGAGAGGACCTGAATTCAAATCCGGCCTCAGACACTTGACGCTTACTAGCTATGTGACCCTGGGCAAGTCACTTGACCCTGATTGCCGCGCCAAAAAGCAACAACAACAAAAAAAAACCAGATGGCACAAGGGTTTAGCTGCAATAATCTTAACACCTGAAAATTTTAACTGTGCTCCATGCAGTGTAACATGTCAGCAAAGATTATTGATTCCAACTGTAAAAATAGAAGAGTTCAGCAGTACCAAACAACATAGCCATTATGTTGGGAACCATATTTTGGGAAGGAGAGAGGGGGCATCCTGGATGTTTCTATCTGTGTATCTTACCATAGCTATTTAAGAAAGCAAGGCGATAACTTCAGCATTCAACTTAGATTGTTCAGTTGTGAGAAATGGATAAATTAGTATTCTGAATGTGAGAATTCACTAGTCTCTGGCTGTTTCAATATCAGGTTTTATAACCTGTAATGGAACAGTCAACATGATAATAAGACTAAAAGTTCAACATTTAATCTTGTGTGTACCTAGTCTAACAGCTAAAGCTGAGTTTGTGTTCTTTTTCTTTGAAATGAAATGTTGGGGGCAGCTAGGTGGTACAGTGGATAGAGCACCGGTCCTGGAGTCAGGAGGACCTGAGTTTATATCTGGCCTCAGACACATAATGCTTCCTAGCTGTGTGACTCTGGGCAAGTCACTTAACCCCAATTGCCCCACTTAAAAAAAATGTTTTAAAAAAAAAAAAGAAATATTGCCTGAGTATATAAAGATTACTATAGCCCATTTCCTGGTTTAAAAAAAAAAAAAAAAACTTCTCAGGAATAGTAGTGAAGCCAATTATTTAACTTCTAGAAGGCTCATCAAGTAACCATAACAGCCTGAATGGTCTCGTATTTGAGATCATCAAAAGATATACCAGTATTGTTTTTCTGCCGGGAATCTGAAGAGCTATCCTTTTTCTTTCAAAAATCCATGTTTGTCCAGTCACCTAACATTACTCTCGAAAATGATCTTTGGATGTGGTGAAAATAGAGTAAGGGATTGTGCTTTAACTCCTCCCTGCTATATGTGATTGTGTGTTGCTGGTTTGCTTGTTTGATGACCCAGCCTGCACTAACTCAGCTCCCTCATTTCTGTCGCAGGGCTTCCCACCTCGACTGCCACCTCAGTACCCAGGAGACTCAAATATTATTCCCTCCTCCACCGTGGCTTCTGTTTGCGTCCCTTCTACAGTTCTGTCCCCTCCCTTGCCCACGGAAGCATTGGCTCCACCAGGGTATCTTCCTGCAGTTGTGCAGCCTTATGTGGAGCCAAGTGTTTTGGTTCCAGTGGGTGGTCTAGGAGGACAGGTTCAAGTACCCCATTCAGCAATGAGCTTAGCACAGCAGGCCCCCTCTGCTGCACCCTCCCAGCAAGCAGCTCTGGAGGTAAATGAAATCTCTGCATGTGTGTGTGGGAAGCATAAATATGAGGGGATAAAAATTATAGGCCAGTGTAAATTTGGGTTCTCCTTTCTTGGAATTCATTTGGACACCATTACCAACTAACTCCTGAATGACTTTCTCTTACAGCAGAATGACATGCCAATGTGGGGGCCTTGTTGCCACTGGCTGTTCTGTTGGGAAGTGAGTGTGCCTCCAAGAGGCTTAGCCCTGTTAGCACTTCACTTCTGGCTAGTTCTGTAGATCTTATTCTTGTCTTCTCACCAACTCTCTTGCCATTGGCAGTCCTGAGAGTGTCTCATCCTGCCGTGCTCTCAGCAGCCCCTTTACCCTGCTAGGAGAGAGATCTGAATCATCTTTGCACTTTGCTCTGCCTGCCCTGTTGCACATTCTTCTGGTAAGATGCTGGCTGCATGGCAAGTTGTAGTGTCACACTGTCTAGTGGACATGATGGCTGATCTCACTGTACAGTCTATACCAGAGACTGGCCGATAGAATCCTCCTTTTGGAGTTGTAAGACTACTATCTAGATGCTGAATGTCGAAGACTTTCCTAATGAGGTAGTGCTTCTAGGGTTTAAGGGGAGGAATAGAAGAATTCTTAAGGGTAGCTTAGTGGGTAGTGGAAAAGAAATAAAATTTTGACTTGTGGTGCTCTAATCATTCTTTCTTTTCACAGAGCACTCAGGGTGTTTCCCAGTCCAGTCCTCCAGAACCTGTGCCATCAGCACAGCCACAGACCGCCACATTGGTCTCCTCTATAGATAGGTAAGCGTACAACTAGAAATTCTCCTTCTTTGAACTGTGACTGGGAGGGAATCGGATCTAAGATCTAATCTTAAAATTACATCATTTGTAGGACCTAAATCTACAAGTTAATTTTTCATTCCTTTTTTAGTGCACATTCAGATGTTGCTTCAGGTATGAGTGATGGGAATGAGAACGTTCCATCATCCAGTGGGAGACACGAAGGGAGAACTACAAAACGTCATTATCGGAAGTCTGTACGGAGTCGTTCTCGTCATGAGAAGACTACTCGCCCCAAATTGAGAATTCTTAACGTAAGTATAAGCCTCTCAGACTTCATCCTATATGATAAGAAGTTAGGGCTAGAAGGGACTTTACAGATTATCTAATCCTATTTCTTCACATTATAGTTGAGGAAACTGAGGCCCAGAAATATTAAATGGCTGACCCCAGGGTCATACATTTTTTAATAGCAAAGGCCAAAGTAGAATCGAGACTCATGATCCTCAGTTCTTTTCACTATACCATGCTGCCTCTTGAATTTTAGAGCAGTAAATAGTTTTAACTGCTTCCCCTCCTCTTCCTTGGTCTATAGCAAGCTGAATTATCATATCACTACAGAAGTCCTGTAGGGTAAATGTATCCCTTTCATATAGCTATACTTTTAGTATTATCAAAGTATTTCAAGAATAGTACAGTATCAATGATACCTTGTTAGACTTTCTTCTTTGGTTTCTCATCTCTAAAGAAAAGAATATGCAATCAAGCAGTGAGATTATTTATATGAAAGACTGACCTAAAATTAAAATGTATTTATGAAAAGTTTATCACAAGGTTAGCCACAGGATGGATAATAAATTTTTTGGACATAGTAACTCTCAGAAGTGGGGCAGCTAGGTGGCACAGTAGATTGAATGCTGGACCTGGAGTCAGGAAGACTTATCTTTGTAAGTTCAAATGAGACCTCAGATAATTACTAGCTGTGTGACCCTGGGCAAGTCTCTTAACCCTGTTTGCCCTCAGTTCCTCATCTGTAACATGAGCTGGAGAAGCAAATGGCAAACCAGTTGCTCCAGTATCTTTGCCAAGAAAACCCCAAATAGGGTCGTGTAGAGTGATATATGACTGAAAAATGACTGAACAAAAACCACCTGCTAAGACGCAGAGGGTCTGTCATCTCCATCAGTGCAAAAAAGAACCCACATTAGACAAATTAGAGAGCTTTGAAGTGTCAAAGTAAGAAAGTTTAAAATCCTTTGTTTTGTCCAAGTAACTTTTCCTTTGACCACATTTCTAGAGAAAAGTACTTCTCTTTTTCTTAACGGTGCATACAGAAAAATAGCTCAAAACACTCATTTTAAAAGAAGTTAGTGACCTTTTTGTACATTCCTCCCAAACCATTCAGGGGGAGACTAGTGCGTAGTTTGAGGACCAATGTAGTTACACCATGCTGAAGGTCATATTGCTGCTCACTCCACAAAGAAAGGAGCATAAGTGGTGTCTACTCTTACTTTGATGAGTAGTGGCAGCACTTATTGAAATCAAGTGCTAATCTTATCCTGTTTTCCCCTGTCTTGCACACTAATATCAGAATAATGTTCTGAGTACATTGTTCTGGCTTTGATCACATATTATCCTTGTACAAAAATTGTGGTGGCTATCCGTTTCCTCCAGGTTGGAATATAAATTATTTGATCAAATATGTAAGGTCCCTCCAGTTCTGCCCCTTTTCCAGTCTGTTCAGCATTACTTTCTATTCTTTGTTCTCACCAAATTGAACGAGTAGCTATTCCTCTAAAAGTATTCTCTCCTCTGCTAACTAATACCTGCATGATCTTAGGCAAAATGCCTCAGTTTCTGTAACTGTAAAACATAGGAGTTGGAATAGATTACCTTTAAGAGTCAAGTTCTGATAACAAAATAGTACATTATCCCATAAGATGTTCTTGTTCTTTCAGGTATCAAACAAAGGAGACAGAGTAGTGGAATGCCAGTTAGAGACTCACAACCGGAAAATGGTTACATTCAAATTTGACCTGGATGGTGATAATCCTGAAGAGATAGCATCAATTATGGTATAGTAACATTGGTTGATGTTTGGGTCCTTACCTTCTTAGTTAAAACTTAATACAAACTCCCTGGGAGAAAAACCAAGTACCAGTGAAGTCAGTCATGTGTGTTGTTCCTCAGATTTTTTTGTCTCTGCTTCAGGATCCTTATCATCAAGAATGGAATGAAAGACCTTCTTCCGTTTTCGTTATGTGCTTATTGCATTCTTCAGGACCTTAGTTTGATGTTTTACATTGTCTTATGTAGGCTTGTATGTGGTTAGTTTACAAATACTTTATTAGAATGGATCAAGCACTAAGCTATTTGGAGTAGAGGTGGAATTGTGATTTTTCCCTTCCTCGAGATAATTTGGAAGTTTTCTTTGTGTAACGTATTCCAGTGACTCAAACTTGGTAGCTAGGATTCTTACTTTTATCCCAAGCCTAATTTCCTTACCCTACAATTCTCTTTTTAGTGGAAATGGAGAACAGCTATTCACCAGAATGAATACGGTGTTCTCTTAGCTGTCAGTTACTAACCTGTAACCTGCCATTGTATCATTTTTGGATACTTTGTAGTGAAATTCCATGGCACAATGAATATAAAGACTATATTAGAAAACAAATTTTCATAAGTAATAAATTAAGAATCTAAACCTCTTGTTTTTAGAATAAACATTAACCTTTTAAATATTTGTATTGTTTTCTTAGTAGAAGCAAACAGAAATGTTTTAGCAATGCTTGAACATGTGGAGAAGTCAAAGATTTATCTGCATGTGACTGTTTTATTAAACCAAAGCAAATACAAGCTGCCCATACTTAAGGATTCTTGGTTTATTTTTCCGTGAAGCTGAAAGTCTGATTTAAACTGTATATGATTTTTTCCCCCTGGAGATTGGAATTTGAATTCATACCTCATTTAAATAACTTAGTGGTGTGCTTGCTATCTTTTTGACCTCTTGATGATGAGTCCTCTTCCTCTCTCCTCTTTACACTTGTCTTAGAGTTGAGAGTGATTATTTTCCAGAGATGGAAAGTTCTTAAATCTAGGAATTCCAAATGAACATTTTTAAAGAAGTTTGGTTAGATAACACAAGAATCATTGGCCCCATTTACCAAGAACATTCAGAAATCGTTTCTCTTATAGGTGAACAACGATTTTATTCTAGCAACAGAGAGAGACTCATTTGTGGATCAAGTGCGAGAAATCATTGAAAAGGCTGATGAAATGCTCAGTGAGGACGTTAGTGTGGAACCAGAAGGTGACCAAGGATCAGAGGGCTTACAAGCAAAGGATGACTATGGTTTTTCAGGATCCCAGGTATTGTCACTCTGTGAGGGTTCTTAAAAGCCTACTTAGAGTATTACAGGTACAGGGACTGGGTGTCTTTAACAACCAATTTTTGACAATCTAGGAACAGTAATATAAATCTAGGAATTGATTTTTTTTTTATTTCGTACTTTCTGAGATTATTGCTTATGCAATCTCAGCTGGGCCCAGCAAGGCATTTCTTTTACACCTCCGTAATTAACTCTACACAGCAACTTTTACGGATCTTTTTGTATCTTCTGAAACCACCCATGGCTCTCTCTCCCTCCTAACCCACCCAGTACACTCAGCTAACAACCTTACCTCATATTTCACTTAAAAAAAAAAGAGAGAGCTCCTGCTTTTCCCTTCTTCCTCATCTCACTGACATCACTAAGATCCTTTCCACTACTTTCTTCTCTTTCATCCCTGTCTCACATGAAGAGGTGGTTCTTGTCAAGGCAAACTCCTTTACGTGTACAAAATGATCTCATTCTATCCCATCTTCATCAATAGATTCTCAACCCCATGAACCTCACTCTCTCTTATATTCAGTCTCTCTCTTTCTACTGGCTGCCTCCCTGCTACCTATAAACATGCCCATGTCTTCCCCCATCCTCAGGAAACCCTCCCTTGATCTTTCCCTTCCTTCTAGCTATCATCCTGTATCTCTTCTCCCTTTTCTGGCTAAACTACTTGAGAAAGGTCATCTACAATTTGATGTCTGCACTTCCTTTCCTCTCACTCCCTTCTTAATTCTCTGTATTCTGGCTTCTGACGTCATCACTCCACCAAAACTATTCTCTCCAAAGTTACCAGTGATCTCTTAATTACCCAATCTAGTGGCCTTTTCTGAGTCCTCATCCTTCTTAACTTCTGCACTGACACTGCCTGTCACCCTCTTCTCCTGGACACTATCTCTTCTCTCTAGGTTTTCATGACACTGTTCTCTCCTGGTTCTGCTATCTATTTGACTATTCTGCTAAACTAGATTTCTCATTGATGACCTCTGGAGTTCACCGTGTCCAAAAATGAATTCATTATCTTTTCCCCAAACCCTTCCCTCTTCCTAACTTCCCTATTACTGTGGAAAGTACCTGCATCTTCCCTGTCACCCAGTCTCACAATCAAGGCATCACCCCTAGACTCAACTCTGTCACTTGCCATGTCCAGTAATTTCTTTAAGACCTGTCATTTCTACCTTTGTGACATCGTTTACATAAATCCCCTTTTGTCCTCTGACACTGCCATCACTGTGGTGCAGAGGCCCTCACCACCTCACACTTGGACTATAGCAGTACCTACTTGGTGGGTCTGTCTGCCTCAAGTCTTACTTGCACGCGCGCGCGCGCACACACACACACACACACACAGCACCACCATTCAGTCAACTCCACTGGTACCTCTAAGATCTTGTTTGGCTTTTAAAGCCCTCCATAATCTGGCCCCTTCCTACCTTTCCAGTCTTCTTATTCCTTACACCCCCACCTTCCCTTACCTTACTCTGCTGCTATCTGGTGCCATTGGCCTCCTGGATGTTCCTGACACAAGACTCTCCATCTCTTGACTGTAGGCATTTCTTCTGGCTTTTCCTTATCCCTGGAATTGTCTCCTTCCTCATCTCTGTGCCCTAGCTTTCCTGGCTTCCTTCTAGTTCAACTAAAATCCTGTCTTCAGGAAGCCTTTTCTGATCCCTTTTAATGCTAGTGACTTTCCTGTGTTTATAATCTCCATTTTATCCTGTATATATGTTTGTACGCAGTTGTTTGCATGTTGTCTCACCATTACAATGTAATTTTTCTGAGAGCAAGGACTGTCCTTTTTACCTTTTTTTCATATTCGCAGCATTTAGCATAGTGCCTGACACATAATCAGCCCTTAATAAATGCTAGTTGACTGACTTACCAGTTGGATATCATGCTAGTTTCAGTTTCCTGAACCAAATACCCAGAGATATCCAGCTCTAAAGCCCTAATTGGGTTTAATGAACAGAGTCATTGTGTAGGACTTGGGAGCTGTGGTACACAAGTGACTGAATTTTTGTTTGTTGTAGAAATTGGAGGGAGAGTTCAAGCAACCAAATCCTGCATCTTCTATGCCTCAGAGAGCAGGTAAGCTTCTTTTCAGCTTTCCACATTGTCTTGTTTTGGCATTTAACTTCTTAGAAAACAAATAGCAGTCAGCTACCTCTGTGCTTTCTCTGTGTTCTAATAATAAAACTTAAGAGCTCCTTTTGAGTCTGGATTGAAGCCAGGTGAAGAATAATATACTATTTTTTTTTCTTATTTAGGTGTTTCCTCCAGTTCCTTAACTCAAGTTGTACATTCAGCTGGACGGCGGTTCATAGTGAGTCCTGTACCAGAGAGTCGGTTACGAGAATCAGTATTTTTCACCGCTACATCCAGTGAAATGTCAGACAGAGGTGAGTCCACAAGCAGGTGAAGAACTTGAAGTAAGAATAGCAGATAAACATGAGGTAGAATTAAAGTGGGAAGGTTAATGGATACCTGGTAAGTATAGGAGGCTTAAACAGCACAAGGAAGAGTAACTTTGGTGATTATAGTACATATAGTGAATTGTGAGTCGATAGTTCTTCCATATGGTTATATATGGTTGTAACCTGAATTCCTCCATCCTTATTTAGGATTGGGTGCCCAGGCCAGATGACTTGTGTACTAAATCTCCACTATTTTAGTATCTGTCCTCTTAGCAGAGCACTATTTTATCTTCATGTTGGTGAGCTTAATAGAATTTTGAGCCATGTTGTATTCCTAACCTTTTTAAAAAATAAACTAACTTCATTTTTTGTGTTTTGTTTGTTTTCCTTTGCAGCTGCTGTCGCTGCATCCCATGGCCCTGTCATGAATCTGTCTCATTCTGCTTCATCCCTAAGTTTGCAGCAGGCATTCTCTGAACTCAGACATGCTCAAATGGCAGAAGGACCCAGTACAGCTCCCCCAAACTTCAGCCATGCAGGACCAATCTTTCCAACTGTACCTCCCACCATGACTAGCATGGCTGTAGTCTTCCCTCCCACAGCAACAGCTGTGCCTTCAGTATCAGTCCCTGCAACAAGTAGCCCTTTTAATAGTGTTTCTGCTCCAGTCATTCAATCTGTGGTCACCATGCCTACTGAAAAGATAATTGCAGGAGTTGCCTCCAGTGCAGGTGTATTAACTTCAAGTTCTTTCCCTGTAACACAAGTGTCTGGACCACCCTTAATTACCAGTGTGGTTTCCAGCATTACTATTCCTGCAGCTGTGTCATTGTCTACTACAACTGAATCAATTCAAGCCCCACCAGTTGGGGCAGTTATGTCTAGTGCTGGCACTTTTCCTCCTGCAGCAGTACCAGTAGCTCCAGTTCCTGGAATAGGCAGTGCTGTTCCCCCAAGTGCTATCACCCCAGCTATGACTTCTCAACCTGCCCAGATTGCAGCAAGTATAGCTGTAGCAACCACCCTGGTTTCCACATCTACCACCACTCCATTCCCAAGCATGGCTTCACAGCCACCTCTTCAGCTCAGTAGCAGCAACTCTGCCCCTAGTCTAGCTGAAACAGTGGTGGTTAGTGCACTCCATCCTAAGCATGATGGCACACATTTATCAGACAAGCCACCCCTCAGCAGTAATGTGGGGCTATCCCTGCCCCTATCGTCTTCCTCTGGAGCCGGGATATCTGATTCAACTAGTCAGCCCAGTGCAGTGCATCCTTTGCAAGTCCCATCTGCTGTTGCTTCTCCTCCTGTCCTTTCACAGGCAGGAGGAGCCATCTCCACCCCGGTATTGCCGCAGGTACCTTTACCTGGTATCCTGCCCCTAGCACAGCCTGTTACCAATGTACCTGCTGTACAGCAGACACTAATCCATAGTCAACCTCAACCAGCTTCACTTCCCAACCAGCCCCACACCCACTGCCCAGAAATAGAAACTGATACACAACCCAAAGCCCCTGGTATTGATGATATAAAGACTCTGGAAGAAAAACTGCGGTCTCTCTTCAGTGAACACAGTTCTGTTGGAGCCCAGCATGCCCCTGTCTCACTGGAGACATCATTGGTAGTGGAGACCACAGTCATGCCAAGCATCCCAACCACCGCCGTTGCACCAAGCAAGCTCATGACTTCTACCACAAGTACTTGCTTACCACCAAGCAGTTTGCCTCTAGGAACAACTACTGGTTTGTCAGTTGTTACACCAGTGGTCACACCTGGGCAAGCTGCCACTCCAGTCAGCTATGTTCCAGCCTCAACCAGCATTGCAGCAGGGGTGAAACCTGGAACCCCTCCCTCAAAGCCACCTCTTACCAGGGTACCGGTAAGATTCTTAGGGATTCATTTTACATAGTTTCTTCTCTTATTCCACTAAAATAATGGATTTTCTCTCAAGTATAGAGTTAAAAATTTTTATGCATAATAACCCTAGGTCCCAACAAGGTAGAAATATGGTTATGAAAACAGATTCGGAGGCTTACAGAAGTTCTGCTGACAGACTGAACTCATTTTATATGTTTGGATTTCATTAAAATGGTGTCTGGGTGTGTGTGTATACACATATTTCATTAGTTTGAAATTTATTAACTTCTAGGAATTTTACCTTGGATACCACACACACATATTTGTCCTATTTGGTTCAGATGAAAGTAACGTTTACACCCCCCAAAAGAGAATTTTTATCTGTCATCTACAATATAGAGAAAGGGCAGATCACTAGTCCGTGAAGCCAGCTATTAAAGCAGCACGTTTTTTTCCCACTGCTATAAAATCAAGATTTAAGATTTAGAGTTTTAAAGTAATTGAATGTTGGTGATCAAATTAGTGTAAGAGTTAGAGCCCCAGTACTAGTAACAAAATTACTAACTGGAATATACTTTCTGATTCTGCTATGATGGATTTTCCTCATTCTGGCATCTCCAATCTCTTTTGACAGTTTTCATATAACCTGACTGGATTTCTTCTAACTATATTGCATGTTCCAGTCATCTTTTTAGTCTGACAGTGCCACAAAATGTTTGTGAAAATGACGGGCAGGCAGAGACTTGACCCAGACTGAAAGTATCTTGTTCCTGCTAGAAAAGAACTTATTTTCGCATTGTCAAATTAGGTCTCCGCTAGTGTAGAACTAAGCAGAGGAGTTTACCTGTCTTAAAAGTCCTCTATTTGTCTTAACAAAACATGACAATGTTAAACTTCAAGATAAGTGGTTTAAGATCAGCTGAGTAGAGTTGACAGCTGATCTCAGCACTCCTGGATTAGATGCTGGTCATTTGTCCTCTTCCATAGGAGGAATCCTTCTACTATATATCACTCTTTTACTTTTTGGACTTTCCACAATAAAAGTAAAAAAAGTTCTTTGTTCATAACTAGAACTAAAGCCATAAAGTAATTTACCAGATGTATAATAACTACATTATTCCCCAGTGGATCTTTCCTCTGATGAACAATTTACAATACATTACATAGTTTCTGGCAAGTCTCAGGCTTTTTTTGATTTTTGTTTTGTTTGTTTCTTGTGTCAACTCATGTAAATTAGGTGTGTTATTCCTTAATATGCAGTAGTTGTAACCTCCTCTGAGCCTTCTTTTAGTTTGATACATTAAAATTTCCATTCATTGTCCTTAGGTGCTGCCAGTAGGTACTGAACTTCCGTCTAGTACCCCACCCAGTGAGCAGCTGCTGCCTTTTCCAGGACCTTCACTAACACAGGTGCTCCATGACTTGGCAGAATTCTTTCTGTTTCTCTTGCTTTTTGTCTTTCAGAATGCTTGGTTAAATTCTTCATTGCATGATATTAGCTTCTGTCTTGACTGGGTATTTTTCTTTCTTTCTTGACTGAGTAATCCCCTTCCACTGAAGGTTTTTGGAATAGTGCTTGAGCCTAGTGGTCCAGATCCCATCTAAACTGAGAAGGTGTATAGTTCTTCTATTTAGGGTATTAGAGACCCTAACTAGGAGGATGACTCTGAGATATTTATTTCAATGTAGTTTTGAGTCTATTCTGAAAAATTATTTCTCAAAGCCCAAAGTTTTACTAGCAAAATTATCTTCCTCCACACAACCAAAGTTAAGGATATTCACTGTTTGAGAAGTTTTTGATAATTTCCAAAACATGATTTCTTCAAAGTTCTATAGTGTTTATTCTCTAGAACAGCAGTTGGCAATCTTAACAGACCAAATTCAGCCCTTCTCCCTGTTCTTGTATGGTCTGAAAGTCAAGAACTATTTTTATATACGATAAACCTTTATTTTTAAATGTAAAAACCATTCGTAGCTCCTACATAGTTTGCTGACACCTGTTGTAGGACAGCAGTGCTGCAAAGCTTTCAGGGCTGGCATTACTAGAAAGAACCTGAAACTATTTAATGATATTATTAAAGGGTTATTTAAATTCAAAAATATATTTAGGATATTGCTGCATATTTCCAGTAGGTCATATAGAAACTTCTAATTTGATATACCGTCCTGTGATACAAAGGAAGTAATGGCAAAATTATGTGTATCTGTCCAGTCAGGTATGACTTTCTTAAAAATACCAACCTTACCTTCAGCAGTATTTATGAATAAGCAAGTTTGTAATTATTCAAATTAAATTAGTATTTTACTTCTAAGATGATGACATGTAAGCTTTATTTCATACATCAATTATATGTAGTTGAAGGTTTTTGAATTTAGTAAACATGTTGCTCTAATTCTGATTTTATGATGAGTGTACTTGTGAAATGTTGAACGATAAAATAAGAGAAAATCTACAATTTCCAGCCATCACCAAATTTAATAAAAATGTGTTCCAAGTCTTAAAAAGACTCAGTTTGGAACTCCAGGAGTATTTACCAGTTGAGGATAGAGGAAGGATACTTAGGAACAAGAGCTGGGGACTCTTGGAGAGGGGAAGAACAGAGTAAGGCAGAAAGCTGAGGGCAATTAGGACCAGGGGTATAGGGGCTGAGAGACGTGGTGGTTAACGAACTGAGAAAAGGATTTGAAGGTATAGAGTGTAGGGGTTGGAGAATTAAGAGTGGGAAGAAAGAGTGAGGAAAGATAGGTACAAGATTTTCTCTTTGTTCCATCTATTCCTCTTTGGTGATAGGGTTGAACAAGAATTGAGACTCTATATCAGTATTTGAAAGGTGGTAGAACTAAGCGGCAAGGTAAAGAAGAGTAGTAGGAGTCCCAAGTAGGAAAAGTTTCCAAGAGAAAGAAGAGGAAAATTCCTAAGGAATTCTTTCAGCTTACCCATTCAGTCATAAATTTGGCATTTATAATTTGAATACTGCCTTGTCTTGTGATACATTTCTGTTTTCAGTTGTGTTGAATTATTATATCTAAGAGTTAGAATCCCCAGCCTGCTCCAGTCTTTTTGAAGTAAGTCCTCTGTGGTGACAGTGGTAGTAATAGCTCACATTTATATAGTGCTTTCCCCTCACAGCCACATTGTGAGTTTTGAGTAGCACAGATGTTACCTTCACCTAAAATACTGGAAAACTGTTGCTCAGAGTTTGTAAGATTACATAGCTAGTAAAAGTAAAAACCAGATTTTGAAGCCAGGTTTCATATTTGCAGGTCTTTAGCACTGATATAAAAAACTCATTTATTTTCTAACAGAAAGGGGAAAGAGTTAAAACTTTGTTTAACCAGATATTATAGATGAAAGCAGGTTGGTAAATAGAGCTTCTTGTTTGTGGGGAAGTAGTGCTTGTTTGTACTTCGATTCCTTGATTATGATCTCCTGAATAATGTGTCATTAATATTCAACCGTAGAAGATGGATACGTCATAAGGAATTTCCTCCTCAGAAGAGAAGTGCTCTGCATAGACATAAGTTCTCAGACATGATAATTGTGTACGGATTGTTGTTTTGTTTTTTGTTTTGTTTTTGCTTAAACTGTACTTATGAGAGAGGGGGAGTGATACTGGCAGATGACAGCAATTTTTTTTTTTAAGTATCAAAATATCGTTTTTCAAAAATAATGTGTAAATGACAATACATTCACCCTGTAGTTGGGGGTTTTATAAAACTGAAGGAAAAAGTAAATGGAAATAGGTAAGATGTGATAAAGATAGGTAACTACAGTTCTGTGTATATTTCATAAAGCTTCCTAGAGAGGGAAGAATACAAAATCTGTCTTCTGGGTGCAGATTTATTGAAAAAGTGATAGAAATTTAATGAATTTGGAAATAGCCTTACAACATGAAGATCAAATCTTTATTTTCATTTCCGTGAATAAGTAAATGTTGCATCTCATTTCTAAAACTTGTATTAAATCTAGATCATAAAGCAGTTGTGTCAGTCTTTCAAAGTAAATAGGCCTTATAAATTAGCTGTTGATTTTGCTAATGTGCCTAAGACATTCTTATTAGTGGGTATTTTTGCTTCAGTCTCAGCAACCTCTAGAAGATCTTGATGCTCAGTTAAGAAGAGCCCTTAGTCCAGAGACTGTCCCACTCACATCTTCAGTTGCTGTAAGTTCAAAGAGCTCCAAAGTAGCCTGTCTCCTTCCCTCCCAGGATACTATGCTCCCAGAAATGTAATTCGAACAGGTAGAAATACTCTTAAGATTTTGGCAGAGTGTAACTATATATAAGTATGATACATGGTCATGATGATGGGGTAAATGGATGGAAATCTATGTTTAATTGTACTATTTACTCAGCTGAGCTGTGTTTTTCACCAGCTAATTCTAAAAGAAGAGCTCAGGTTTGAGAGTAATCGTTGGACCCATCTAGTTTCTCTGAAACTATTTGAATGTCAGGGGTATCATCGTTTAGTGTGTGTGTGTGTGTGTGTGTGTGTGTGTGTGTGTGTACATATATGACATCTAAAATTGAAGTTTTGACTTCTATTTATTTACATTTGGAGGAGATAAAAAGGTCCTAAAGGATAATACTTCCCTTTGAATGTCTGAGGTACTTTCTGAAATAGACTAAGGAAAAAATGTGTCGTAAAAGACCTTTAAGGGGTAGCTAGGTGGCACAGTGGATAGAGCATTGGCCCTGGAGTCAGGAGGACCTAAGTTCAAATGTGACCTCAGACACTTGACACTCACTAGCTGTGTGACCTTTGTTCAAGTCACTTAACCCCATTGCCACCCCCCCCCCCAAAAAAAAAGCTTTAAAAGCTCACTACTTCTCTTAAAAATTATATTTAGATAATTTAATAGAAAAGATCCATTAGCTTTCTAGGTTGATTTAATGGCACAATAGGGTTTTCTGGTACATTTGGATCCTCCATTATATATAATTGTTGTCTTCCTACAAAAGCAAAAAAAGAAGGTACTGATTATAGTTAGTAGACTGAATCTACGGGATTAGAAGTTTTTAAAAGTCATCTCGCCATCTGTAATGACAAAACTTGGCTGTTCCTCAAGGTTAATAATGTATCTTCTAAATTGGGATAAAAGTTGGACTATATTCCAAAGTATTTGACTTTAGTAAACTGTAGCACGAAACAGCCAAAAAACTGAACTTTTTTTTTTTCCTTTAAATTTTGTCTTGCAGCCCACATCAGTTGTGGCTCCAACATCAGTTGCCGGGGCAGTGCCGGTGGTAGTTCCAGCTCAGAGAGGTACAGTATAGCACCTTGGGCACAGCACAACTCCTATTTAGGTCCTTGATCCTCCAATGAGACTGGGAGTAGATTAGTATTTTCAGAAAAAGCTTATGCAATTGGAAATTGGAGTTAACAAAACTAAAAGAATAATCAGAGTAACATTAATAGCTGTCTCCAACAAAATGATCACTGTGATTGGTGCCCAGAAATGATCACGTTCTTGGAATTCAACCAACTTTAAGCCTGTCCTATATTTAACTAGTTTTTGAGCACCTAACTTAAGAATACAGCATTGCATAAAATTAAACTGTTTAGATTCATCCTCTTAGATATGATTAAAAAGATAAACTTCTTTGTCATCTTTATTTCTCTACTTCCTTCAGCAGCTCAGAGCATAGACGATAAGACCATAATGACCAGCTCAGAGGCCAGTGTCCTTAAGATGGGCCGGTTTCAGGTAAGACATTCTTTTCAGGAACTTAGTCTTTCGTCTCATTGGTTGTGTAAATGATATGATTGCCAGTTATAAACTTGAATAAATTGATGTGGAAGCTTCTCTGGCATAATCTTAATCTTCAAGAACCCAGAGTTAGCTCAATGCCAGTGATCAGTAATATTCTTGAGGATCTACCAGGGTAGTACAATGACTAACAGGTTTGTGGTTTTTTGGTTTGTTTGTTTGTTTGTTTAATTTCTAAAGAATCACTTCTCTCGCATTCCCAGTATCTAGTACAGTGCATTATACTAGTAGGTGTTTAATAAGTTATTAATGAATTTAGTTGAGTTTCTAAAAGGTTTTATCTTAAATCTTATCTTAAAATTGCCTTGCTGCTCTGGGTATTTCTTCATTTAAAAAAAAACAAAACACTTCAGGTAGTAAGGGGAGGGGTTAGATTAGAAGTATGGAAGGAGGAGATTTAACGCTTCCTTTTCCCAAAATGAAGGGAGTGGATACAGTTGACAGGGAAATGGAATTTCCTACCATGTAGGTTATGCAGCTTTGGTTTGTTTTTTGTTTTTTAGTCTATCCTAAAAGTTAGCCTTTTTTTTTTTTTTTAAACTACCAGGTATCAGTTGCAGTAGATGATTCCTTGAAGGAGAGCAAAAGTAAGTCAGAAGAAGTAAAGTCTGTACATTTTGAATCAAGCACTTCAGAGTCTTCAGTGTTGTCAAGTAGCAGCCCAGAAAACACTCTGGTGAAGCAGGAGCCTGGTGGAATTGCCACAGCTCTATGTGGCACCTCCTCAGATGTGGTTGATGGTGTTCCTTCTCAGAAAACTTCTGCTACACAGACAAAGCCAGAAGTTGAGCAGCCCACCACAGTTGGCCGTTTTCAGGTGACACCTACGACAGACAAAGTTGGCCGATTCTCTGTGTCAAGAACTGAAGACAAGGTCACCACTGTGATAGAGAGAGAGCCACCTGTGGCACACCCTTTATTGGATTCTGAACAGGCTGTTCCTTCTACTGTAGCACCAAAGAAAGAAATGCCTGAACTGTCAGAGCCAAGCCATCTTAACGGGCCGTCTTGTGACCTGGAAGCTGCCTTCCTAAGTAGAAATATGGATGATGGTTCAGGTAGCCCACATTCTACTCACCATTTGGGCTCAAAAGGCAGCCTTCCCATCCAGAGCCTTAGCCAGAGCCTTAGTAATTCATTCAACTCCTCTTACATGAGCAGTGACAATGAGTCAGACATTGAAGATGAGGACTTGAAGTCAGAACTACGTCGATTACGAGAAAAGTAAGACTTTTCTTCCCTTATGCTTTCATATAGATATAGAATCAGAGGCTTAGAACTGGGAAGGACTTTAGAAATAATCTAATCTAAATTTTGGAGCCCCAAAGAGATTTAGTGACTAGTCGAGGTCATATAAGAAGTAGCAGGTAGAAATTCAAGATTAAAATTTCAGATTACAAATCTACAGCTCTTTCTACAGTACCATAAGCGTAGGGAATCTCTTTCTATCAAAAGATAAGGATTTATGCATATGAGAGAAAAAACATTTATTTTATTTATTTATATTTATATATATGTACATACACACATAATATTTAAAATATGGAAAGTTGTCTAAGGACTTTTCATTAAACTCTGTCTTATTCACAAGTATCTACACCACTCCTTTTCACACGTATACTTTTTTGAGATTATAAATACTGTTACTTTGAACTTTTATTATATATACTTGTTTTAACTACCACCACCCTGCCTTAGACACTGTAAAAAGGGTACAGAAGCATTTATTTTAAGTCATGGCTACGTAACCAAGCATTATACTGAGTGTTTTACAACACAAAACTCTTGTGTGATCCTCACGATCACCCTGGGAGATAGTTCCCCATTTTAGTTGAAGAAAGTGAGGCAGACAGGTTAAGTGACTTGTTCGGTGTCATAACACTAATAAGTAAGTGTCTGAGGCTAGATTTGAACTCAGGTCTTCCTGCTGCCAGGCCCAGCACTCTATCCTATATGCCACCTAGCTGCCTGTATAATAATAGCTGGCTTTTAAGGTTAAGGTGGCAAAGTGCTTTACAAATATTATTTCATGTGATCCTTACAACAACTTGGGAGATAGGTGCTATTTTTGTCCCCATTTTTCAGTTGAGGAAAATGAGGCGGGTAGAGGCTAATTAACAGAGACTCAGGATCACATAAGTAGGAAGTACCTAAGGCAGGATTTCAATTCAGGTCATCCTGACTGTAACTCAAATGCTTTATCAGACACTCTAAAATTACCCTCTGTTGGGTGAATGTCTATAGCGAAGGCTTTCTAGGTAGTAATTGGCCTCTATTTGCCCTCTTTGGTCTCAGGAATCAGGAAAAAAACACATTTCTTCTTGTCTTGCTGGAAACTTAAAGAATTTTAAATGAAGGTGGGAGGAGATAGGGAAGAAAAATTGGAGTTTTCATTATAGTGGAAATAGGGAAAAGGTAAGTACTTAAGTTTTGAGAACAAGTTCAGTATTTACATTCAGGAACAATGTAAGGGCCTAGATTCACAAACATTAATGAAATTGAAATTTGTTGTCAAATTGAAGTTGTTATATTTGGTTTTTTATTTGAAATTTTTATATTTGGGAGTTTGATGTTGAGTCTGACCTTTACTCTTAGGCACCTTAAAGAGATCCAGGACTTACAGAGTCGCCAGAAACATGAAATTGAATCTCTGTATACCAAATTGGGCAAAGTTCCCCCTGCAGTCATCATTCCCCCAGCTGCTCCACTCTCAGGGAGAAGAAGACGACCCACTAAAAGCAAAGGCAGCAAGTCTAGCCGAAGTAGTTCTTTAGGAAATAAGAGCCCCCAACTTTCAGGTAAGGAGCCATGGAACAGGGTAAAAATGTCCTTTACCTTCGTTTTTTCCTTTAGTTTCCTTTTAGTTCTTCCCTTTTTTCCAGTATGGAAGCTGTTAAGCTATAGAAATGGATCTATCACTTCAACATTTTTGCTGATTTTCAGAGGCTAATTTTCTAAAGCTAACTTTTACATCTTATTCTCAGCTCCCTCTTCCCTGCCTTCATTTTACTCTTGGAAGTGGTCTTAGTGAATGGCCTTTTTAGCATAATTCACATTGAAACCACTTTACAGTCTCCATTGAAAAGTCTGCTTGAGAGCAGTCCTCAGCTTTGCCACCAACTGAAGTGTTACTCATGTTTACCCAAACCCTTTGTTCAGTGGGGGTTTAAAAAAAATGTCTCTCTTTTCATTGAATAAGTGTTGAGCAGAAACTCCCATATGATTCATGAGATGGGTATTTGATTGACATGTCACAGAAGACTACTTTGGGTAGGTATATAAGTTATATAACTCTTTTGGGGATTTTATTCATTCGAAGTGACCTACTGATGACATTATTCAAAGGAAATAAGTCAAAAGCATATCTTGAGAATGGACTTTATTAATATTTACATGTTAGGTATGTGTGTAGAAGTTAATATAACATATATTAAAATACCTCATATGAATAATAACAAAATATGTATCATAAAACAATGCATACCAAGCCATTTAGTAGCATAGCTATTTTCCTGCTGGATAGTTTTTGCTTTACATTAAGTGTGATGGTTGGTTGTGCGTGCTCTGGGAATGGCCATTGGTGACCTAACTTGTTCATCTCAACAATGTTCATGATGATTTCCTGTAGTGAGAGCTAATCTTAGTAAAATTCCTAAGAGCATTATCTAGTTTTAAAGGATCATGCTAATAAAAACAATTCTGTTTCTTTTCTACCTTCCTCAGAGACATTCTGCCCTAGAGGTCTAGTGTGTTGTGGCAGTGTTGAAAACTGTTAGGATAGCTCTAACCCCTTTCCTCAATATCACAGGGTCAGCTCACAGCACTTACTGATATCAGATGGCATTACTGAAGTATTTTTCTAACCTTACCTGCACTCCAAGTAAACCAACTCATGCTTGAGAAGCTTGTTGAACAGGAGATGAATATCCAGGGATGAGAAAAAGAGCTCACTTCCAGGATACTGGACCCAGCACTTGTGTGACATCTGCCAAGAAAATGGGTGCCAAACACTCTCTGCATTCAATGGCCACTCACACCTTTTGCCACACATTTTTACATCTGACCTGGCATATACCTGCCTTAGTAGGAGAGCTAGGCAGAGCCTACCTTGGAAATCTAATTGTCTCATATTTCATTGTCTTTCTCAATAGGGAAAAACATAATCTTCTTTTCAAAACCTGTTCAGTCAGGGTTATCAGTTGGAAAACCACATGTTCCCCTTGTCCTGCAGCTGCTGCCCTTTCTTACTTGACTTAGACATGTGAACCACTCTGGGCAAACTGTCTTAAAAGCCTTCTTAGGCAGTTTTATGAAGGGGACCTTCTGACTTAATGTCAGCCTTGGGGGAAGGGCGGGAGTTACTTCTGATTTCACTCCTGGCTTTTCTTTCAGTCAACAAAACCTTGGTTCTTTCTTGTTCTATATCTTCTCCCATCCCTATTTCTCCCTGATATCCCACCCTCTGATCAAAACACAAGATTTCTTGTTTTTGTTTCTGCTGCTAGGTGTAAAATTTCATGCAGTCCATTTTCATTTGTCTTTTTGTAGCCTACCTACTCAGTGTCTATGGAGTGCAGTAGGAAGACTGAACTACTAAGAAACTTCCCCTTGTTTTCCTGATGCCACTCTGTCTTTTCACAGGCAACCTGTCTGCTCAGAGTGCAACTTCAGTCTTGCACCCCCAGCAGACACTCCAACCTCCTGGCAGCATCCCAGAGACTGGGCAGAATCAACTGTTACAGCCCCTTAAACCATCTCCCTCCAGCGAGAACCTCTATTCAGCTTTTACCAGTGATGGTGCCATTTCAGTACCAAGCCTTTCTGCTCCAGGCCAAGGTAAGAAATCAGATGGCAACCACCATCTTCTGACAGCACTAAGGTGGAGGAATTGCCATAGCCTTGGTGATGGACCAAATGCTCCAGAAGACTTCAGGGTCACAGTTTGGACTGAGGAACCTGAAAGCAAAAGACCAGCTGGCCAGTACACAGTCTATGTACTACCTGCTCAGGAGTCTTTAGTCTTAGGACAGTTTGAGGTGATGGAGAGATGATGAGGTAGACTTATTACAGAGAGAGAGAGGTCAGCATGTGAGTTAGGCTTGTTGCTACCATCTGTTCAAAGAGCCTCGTCAGGCAAGGCCACACGTCTAAGACCTTTGTGAGGAGATATCACTGCAAGCAAGTGAGGGTTTGGGGGCCCAGGACTTAATCCTTGAAGACATACCAGAAAGAAGACTGGGAAAGTGGTCATCCCCCTAAATGCTGTAGTCACTAAGGGAATAAAACATAGTTTCCTGGAAGATGATACATAGCCTGGTCAGGGCAGATTGTTTTCTCTACTGGGGTAGGGGAAGCATGTCGAAGGAGCTGTTCAGTATTTGAACAATCTCATAAATCTCTGTCCATAGCCAACTTTGCTGTAATGATGTTGTTTTACTAGACAAAACATTCCCATCAAAAGGGTCTCCACTAATAATAGAAGTAAAAGATAAGAAATTCAGTTGTGGGGTGTCTAAGGAGGAAGAAAGGGACAAAAGATAGATAATAGACTTGCTTCCAGAGAACTCAGAAGCAAGGATCACCACACCCCTTCTTCTCTAAGAACATTTTCAGGAGAATTGAAAGAAACCTTTGAACTGAGTACCAAATCTTATCAAGGTGAATGTACTCTTTTCTAAAGGAGCAAAGTAAATTAGCGTTATTCCAGTGAAGTGAAGAGCTCTGGATTTTTACAAGTGGAGGGAATGGAATTCCTGGTTCTTATTCTACCTGGCTGCCCTTCTCCTGAAGCTTGTTCTCCTTTGTGCCATCTTAGTACCTTTCACCACTCCAACCTCAAGTTCCTAACATCTTGTAGTTGTGTTCTGTGTTTCTCTTTCTTTCTCTGTTCTTCCCTCTTTTTCCCCACCTTCTCACAGGCTGTGCGAAGTTTAACTGTGCATCTGAGCGGGTGACGTTCAAACCTGGTGGCAGGAGGACCCGATTTCTGAGTACGCCCTGCTTGGCTCTTTGTGTGTAACACCTTTACTCCTTCCTTATTTTTGTTTTTCTGCTGCTTGGATTTGATATTTCATGCAGCTCATTCTCATTTGTCTCTTTGTATCCCATGTACTCAGTGGCTTGGCTGAACTATTATTATTACACTCAGAAGTTTGGGTCCATTTGTTCATATGAAATACAGTTCTCTAGAAGTAGATCGTATTACTTTGAACTTGGAGATTAACTTATCTGGATGCTGAAGGATTTCTTTATATTAAATTTAGCTGATATATAGAGGACTGTTCCAACAGAACACATAGGCTGTCTTGAGGCAATGAACCTTGGACCTTAGAGACTAACTTCAAGCTCTGTGGCCTTGGTATTAAAGGTTCCAGAAAGATAGAAAAGTTCTGGCAGCACATACAGACATAATTAGGTTAAATCTATCATAGAAACATGATGTAGTTTTTCCCATTTATTCTGTCTTGTTTCATACCATATTGAAGAACTCATAATAGGCCTTAATTTCAGTTCAGATTAAATAACCATAGAGTATTAGATACTATATATATAGAACCTCCAAGAAACATAAAAACCTCCTTTGCATATAGCTCCTGGATCCTATTTAATTCTTTCATAGTCCTCCAGGTAACTGCTTTACTTTACACCCCAAATTCAATAATTCATAGATATTCTAATTATAAGACTCTTTTCTAAGGGAAACCAGTATATACAATTATTTGTTACAGCTGCTTTACTAAAAGCATTTCATTAGTTGAAGACTGACCTCCTAACAAAGAAAGGGAGCTCATCTTTACTCACAATGGCAAATATGTTACAGTAATTGAGAATTGTCTTATAAGATGCTTTTTGATATTTTCTGGCTGTTCCTTATAAGTAAACTCAAGAGATAAGGAAAGGTCTTGTCTCTCAAGACCTCAAACTTCTGATGTGGTTATTGGGGTGTTTTTAAATGCATGTGCTGAGGCTGCCAACATAATGCTTATGAGTGTGCTTCAAAGGTTGACAGACCCTCCTGGATGGAAGTGTTAACTGCTCCTCTGTTCTCTGTAATGACAGGGTATGTAAGGGAAGTGCTTTGATTCACCTTCATGCATCACATTTAACTTCATTCCCCTGCATCCTTCCCCTATATCCATTTAACTTCATTACTTTGCATCTTGTAGCCTGTGTCCTCCTACTCCCCAACCCTTTTTTTTCCCTTTAATTTAGCAATAGGATGATAGCTATGTTAAGGGGTTCACTAGATGCCTCCTTCTACAACAGATGGTGATTCCAAAGTTATTTGACTTTGGGGATAGAATATTTTAATAGTACTTTGATAAAATACTTTGATTTAGGGTTTCAGAGCAGCAATTTCATTGGACAAGGTTGATATTAATATAGTGCTTTAAGGTTTACAAAGCACTCTTTTATGTTTAACTTGATCCTCGAAAAATCTTTGTGAGATTAGGTCTACAGGTATTACTTGTATTTTATTAGTAAGGGAAACTGAGGATCCACAGAGGTTAAATGATTTGCCCATTGACACATAGTATTCACTTGTAAGTGGTAGAATTTGAACCAGATTTCTCCTAACTCCAAGTCAAGTGCTTTTCTTTTACACCACATTTCTTAACCAACCAAGCCAGGAGATAGTATGCTTGGCCACTCAGTACCCACATAATTTGTTTCTGTCCATAAATAGAGAAGCATAAAGACCTAAAGCTGGGTAGTTTGGAGGGAAATATGGAAAAGATTCACATATCCCAGTATGTCATAAAATCCCGGGGAGGGTCCATTTCTGTTATTTTGGAATCATTTTAAATACATTCCATTCTTAGCACTTCCCTTGGAAGATAAAGGAGTGGGCCTAAGTCAGTTGAAGATTTATTGTGCATGAAATAACTCCTAGTGAGCAGGTACCAAGAGGCAAGGAAGTTAAGGTTATAGGAAAGGTGGGGATTAGCTAGGTAGTGCATGGGATGTTTGCATCTTTTTTATCCTCTAAGAATAGATAGCTTACTGAAAGCACGGCTTGGCTTGATACATAGATTGCTGGTTTCCCAGAATCCTCTAACCTTCCCTTCTAGCATAATCCTAAAGATTGTAATTGTGAGGGTGGGAGGAAGCAAGTTAAAGTGAATTAATAATGAAACTGGGATAGTAAGGCTGCTGTGAAAGGCTTTGCAGATTCTTGATTGCTAATACATTTACTTGCCTACATTTCAACTACTCAGCAGGAGAAACAGAGTGGGACTGGATCAGTGGGGAAAACTCTCTGCTTTGGGTATTTGATCCTTAAGCAGTGAGGCCTTGATATATTCCCATCTTTCTGTCCCCAAACAGTGTACCTTCTCCTTAACCAAGGTTACCAAGTCCACCAGATAGCCACTCGAGAGAAGCCTCTCTGGGGTGGATTAATTTGATTTGGGACAGTCAGTAATACATAGGTTTCTGTCTTGATTTCCAGATACTAGTTTTATAACCCTAAAGCTGGTAAGGGTTTGCTGTATGCCCCTCTGGACATCAAGGATTCCTGGGTCCTGCTGCCCTTTCTCTACTCCTGGTTTCTCTTGCTGGGCCTTTTAATGCTATTTGCCAATACTAAATATTTTGCACTGATATTTCTTTAACACATTGCTCTTTCTTTGTGCTTCAGGGAAGATGGTGAAAAAAGTCTGTCCTTGCAACCAGCTCTGTAGTAATTATCTTTTTTGTTATTTTTGGTCTTTGATTGTAATGCTGTTTATCCATTAATTTTCCAAACCCTGAAGTCGTATCTCCCTAAATCTGACTTCAGTCTTGCATCTGTTTGTCTCTCTGTCCCCTTTTATGATGTGTTTATTGATATGTCTAAGTGCTAGCAGGTAATTTAATCATTAAGATTGAAAACTCACCTCAAGTTATAGACTGTCAAGACTTGCCAGCCCCCATCTGAGCCTATCCCTGAGGCAAATCATGAATCAGCAATAGCAGTGAATTGCACAGGAAAATCAGCTGTACCTGATGGATGTGTGGAGAAAGATATCTGCCACAGTGGGGAGGCAGAATATAGTTGACCCTGTAGGGTTTGACTTAAGTGAGTGAGGTTATTTGTAGATTTAGTTATTTATTCCACTGCTAGTTCTGTTTAGGTTTAAAGATCAGGAATAGAGAAGTGGGAGGTTTTAATTGGAGTCACAGGAGAGATTATAGTTATTAGGATTTGGTAAGAAGATACTCAGATAATGGGGAAAGACAGATTAATGAGATTAAGAGTACCCTTGCTTCCCCTACCGCCCAGGATTAGACCCCAGCACAGAGGGAACACCACAAATCTGAAGACTTGCATTATCTCCAACAACAAATTGGTTGGAATTCATCACAACAGAAAAAAAAAATCTACATGGTCTGGAGTGAATCTTATTAGTCCCCAGTAGTCAGAATTGGGACTGTATGTGACAGCTGGTTTTTAGCAGCCAATTCAAAGGGAATTACTTTGTGCATGGTTCTTCCCCGTGACACAAGCCAGTATTCTAGATCCCAATGTAGATTCAGAGTGAAAGATGAAATTAACCTTCTGTAAAAAGAGATCTCTTGGTTACAGGAGGTTATAGCCATCATAATTAATGAAGAAGTATCATACCCAGCATATGTAAATAAGGAATTTCTTAATGCAAATAAGACTCTTCAAGCTTCCCTGTTAAAATATTTTGACTTTTGATGGTTCCCTTACCTCTAACTGAACTTTATCTGTGTTGTGCTTGCCTTATTTACTGACCAGGGCCCCTTCAAATATTTTCCCTTTATATATGTCAACCCTCATGCATGTGACCTCTTGAATTTCCATATTACCATGTCCACTCATACTCAGTGCATGTGACTCCCACTCTGGCCCTATCTTACATTTGCCCTTTGAGAGAAAGTTCCCCAAATCCTACTCGTTTCTGTTCGGGTTCCCTGCACTTCAAGAAAATGCCACCCTTCCCTTCACGTGGTTCATGCAACCAGTCAGCTTAGGGCATATATTCTTTCCTAGGGCAAAGAGCCCCTTTATTATTCTCCCTATGTTGCCACAGCACTACGAAGCATGATTCCTTCCTCAGAAGCTTCACTGAAAGGTCATCTCTGATCTTTCTCAGCAGTGCTTGTGGGTTTCATTCCCTACATCAGTCTTACACTTGGCTCAAGACCAGTACCTGATTAGAAGGGTCCTTTTTCTGGATAGCTCCAGATGTTGCCTTTTGACATCTATTTTCATGCAGCAGGAAGGTTGCATGCATTTATGGGTGCCCATGACAAGGAAGCAAAGGCCATTAGACTTGGCCCTTACCTAGCTTTTGGGTATCTTGACAGCCTGGTGGCTTGGAATCACATCTTTGTACTTTACATAGCTTTTATTTATCCTGCAGTTGCAAATGTGAGATCTGATAAGAGTGAATATGAGACAGTGACTCTTCTCTCCCTCTTCCCTAATACTTGCCTCTTCGAATAATCTTCAGTGTGCCCTCCAGCAGAGCCGAAATCAGGCAGGACACGGACTCCTTCTTTTTCATCAACCATACAAATAAAATTACCTTCTCCATAGCCTCAAAGCTTCCCCCACCCCTTGTGCACCTCTGATCCAAGCTGAATGTTCCTGCTGCTTTTATGTTGAAGTGCTTGCTGCTCTGGTTTGGGGAAGGAGTAGAAGGCCTTTAACAACTTCAGAATAGAGCCTTTACACGAGCTAAATGACCCAAGCCCACAACAGTTTCAAACCCTGACTTGGGGCCTGACTCACACCAGGAAAGACAAATGAAAGTTCAATCTCTCCCAATAATGGTGTCTTTATAAATCCATATTTATGGGCCCGGGTGAAAGTTGTACTGATAAAATAAGCCACTACTTAATTTAGCCTCTCAGTCCTGCTCTGGGATGCCTCCATGAGCCTAATGTTGAAGAAGTGTACCAGTATCTACATGGGATTGTAGTAGATACCTTGTCCTCTCGGACCAAGTCATTCCCTCCTTCCTCCTCCTCCTCTAACCTTGCCCTTGATGTGAATGCATTAAGAAGTCCTCTTCTACTTTCCCGTCTTCAAGGTGATTGGAAACCAGAGCAGCTGGCCCCACAGACTGCACCATTCCTCTCCCTCTTTCACAGCATGGGGCCTAGGAGCAGAGTACCAGTAGTCACTGGCCTTGATTGCCACTGTGTGATATGAAAAACAAACACCTGTTCCATTTGCCTGTTGTGCCCTCAGTGCTCTGAGGCCTGGCCTAGGCAAACACTCATAATCACCACAGGCACTTTGATAGCTCCTGAGGAAAAATTTTCCTCATAATTCTGTTTAGCTAAAGCATATGGCTTAAATAAAACCCAGGAATCTTAACCACTTGCCTTTCTTTCTGCATGGCTTCCTAACTCATCCTTTCCCTGTGCCCTCCATTTCATCATTCTATGATCTTTGACCGTCTCCTTAAGTTGAAACCCAAATAAGCTTTTGTAAAGCCTGTGTTCTTTCCCTTCTAACTCTAGGGACCAGCAGTACAAATACAGTGGGAGGAGCAGTCAATAGCCAAGCCCCACAGGCCCAACCACCCAGCAGAAAGGGTACATTCACAGATGATCTACACAAGTTGGTAGACAACTGGGCCCGAGATGCCATGAATCTCTCAGGCAGGAGAGGAAGCAAGGGACACATGAATTACGAGGTAAGACTTTCTCTTTTCCTTCCTAACCCATCTCAAGCATTGAGAGAGACTACTTACTAAATACCGAAATTGTTGCTAAATAGCAGGAGTTCCCAAATGTTATCTGATATGGTCTTGTTAATCATCTGCTTAATCTTACCAGTTTTTTTTTTTTTTTAAGGACCAAAGTAATGGCTCCAATTTCTTTTATCCCTCCATTAGTCCAACCTAAGTTTTCTGTGAGTGGTAATTTCAAGCCTATAGATCCCTGAAGCATTCAACCACTTTAGTGAGTAGTAAAGGAGGAAAAATGTCTCATCATTGTCTTGTAATAAAATATTTCCTTCTAAATGGAAAGAGCATTTTTCTCTGAACTTTCTAATGTTACCTCTTGGGCTTTATTTCAGGGCCCTGGAATGGCAAGGAAATTTTCAGCACCTGGACAGCTCTGCATCTCCATGACCTCTAACCTGGGTGGCTCTGCCCCCATATCTGCAGCATCAGCTACCTCTCTAGGTCACTTCACCAAGGCTATGTGCCCCCCACAGCAGTACAGCTTCCCAGCTGCTCCCTTCAGCGCTCAGTGGAGTGGGACAAGTGGCCCAGCACCGCCACCCCTCAGTCAGTTCCAGCCTGTAGGGACTGCATCCTTACAGAGTTTCAACATCAGCAATTTGCAGAAATCCATCAGCAATCCCCCAGGTTCAAACCTGAGGACAACTTAGCCAGACCTATATACGGGACTGGGTAGACTGTGGGGGAGGGGAGATAGCCTATATACTAACTACTATGCTGCATCTAACTGGTTGTTTCTTGCCAGAAGAATGTTTCTAACCACCATACTTAACCCTCAGGATGGAGAATCTCCCTTCTTTCCTCATGTCTTGGAGGGACAGGGAAAAAGCAGTTTCTTAGGAAGGGTCAGCTTCTTATTAAGCTTCCCTGTATCCAACAGCCAGGGCAGTGAAAAAGAGAGAAGTCACTGGGACAGCTACTGGAGATCTCATTATCAAAGCAAAACCCACCTGTGCTCTGAGGGTCAAAGTCCTAGCATGAGGCCATTTTAATAGCACACTTGATGTCTTGCCCTAAATCCCTTCCCTACAGTTACCTGCCCTCCACCCCAAGAGTCCAGACCACAGGATAAAAATTTATTGGGATCTTTCTTTCCCACCATTCCCTTTCAACTCACCTTCCTTGGAGCCCAGGCACTGGGGAGCTCAAGCAGAATGGAGTTGCAGCTCTTGCTTTAAAATAGGTCATACTGCTTTTAAGTAAACAATATTAATAGCTTTGACTGCAGCATTAGCCATTTAAATTGTTTTTTTAAAGTTCCCTGCGGACATGTAACTTTGCCATCAGTTTTGATGTGGAAACACTGTGATATATAAATGTTGTTGGACAACAGTAGTTAAGAGTGGAATATAGAGGGTTAAAAAAAGTTCAAAAAAAGCTAGCTATATCCGTATACTTATTGGAGACACTTTAACTTTTTCCTTTGTATTTCCATTGTATTAGATAAATAAATGTGAATGTAAAATTGTAAAATTACTGTACTTGAATACTTGTCTGTTCTCCCAGTATTGCTTGCTGGACATTTTAGTGCCTTGGACTTCTATTGCTTCTGCAGTTAGTATCATCTTCCCAGCAGACCCCAGCCAGAGGACAGGTTGGAAGAACCTTTAGGTCCATGTGATCCAGGATTAGGTATACCACTGGGCAAACCAGTATCAAAAGGTACTTTTAAACCATCCAGGAAGCTTTGCCCAAAGCAGGTCTTGAAAGAGGGTGGGAGGGGTTATGTTGAGAAAGTTGGTTGGAGGCAGGAGTATAGGGGGGAAAGTGATTTTAACTATATTGAGCAGTTAGGTTGAGGTCCTAGGGAGTGGTATGTATTAAGTAGTAGAAAGAAAAGTTTAAAGGATGAAGAGGAAGCTTGTTTATAGATAATGACATCTGCTAGCCAAGCTCATTCCTTTCAGGAGCCTTATTATTCCAGAGTAAGACCGGAGAAGGCATCAGATGGAGTATTGTCTGGAAAAAGTTGAACTTAAAAGGTTGGCTTGGTTCTTAAGCCATCAAGTGGTCCTGAAGGGGCAAAAAACATGAAGAGGAGGGTTGCTTGAGAGATATCTGCTGGGAATGTTTTCCTTTCCTGTGCACCAGGGTCCTCAACCTGAAACAATAACCATTGCAGGCCCTGAAACCACTGGTATCTAAGCCACTTCTACTTATGAAAGAAAAAACTAATTTTTCCCATTCCTCCTTTCCTTGAGATGCCCAAGTGCTATCAAAAACATAACTTATTGTGCCACCTTTTATACATTTCTACATCTACTTACAATTTCCTCTCATCTTTTCATTCAGAAATAAGAATTCCCTGAATAATACTGCAGTATTACTCAGTGCTGCATCTAGCTATGTTGAGGTCGAGTCACATGTCATGGTCTTGTGCTACTCCAGAATATTCAAGGCTCCAACGGGGAAAAAAAAGACTTGCCTATTATTTGGTATTTCTGCTGTCAATAGATATATGGAAGGTACTTGGACTTCTATTTCTGTGGGTGTTTCTCTGCTCCCATAATAAAGGGGAGAGAAATGTTTCCAACCCCTGATCCAGTTTTGATTTACAGCAGAGGACACCTTGTAAAACAAAAACTTGATCACATATGGTGGCAAGAGTGGCTATCCTGCATGTTCTTTGAATGGTCTATTTTCTGAGTTAAATGGTATAAGGCTATAAAGCTGCAAAGTAAACAGCTAAATTATTTAGGGAAACAGAAAAGGTGGGAGGGATGGTGAACCTTCATAACCATAACATTTTGCTTTTTTTTTCTTAATTTTAAGAAAAAGGCCTTGCCTAAAATGGAGGGGGGAGGAGATGATAGGGTAAGGGTGGAACAAAAAAGATCCCAATAAGTGAGAAATGAGCCATCTAATAGGACAGAAATAGGAGAGGTGACAACATTCTGCCAGAAAAACTGGGCAGCCAAATGCAGCACATAGTTATTTAACTATTTTGGTTTAAAAGTTTGAGGGGCTTTTCACTTACAAAAACATTTACCAGGTTAAACATTTACCAAGAACTGGTTTTTATTTACTATTGATTTCCCACCTGTGGATGAAATAACTGAAACCTAGAGGAATAAACTAATGCTACTGAACTGTTTAAATTATTTTGTGTTAATAGTACACTTTGAGTATCTTTTTCCACATTTAAAAAAAAAACGTTTCTTAATTACAAATGTTTTCTTTACATTATTTAACAGTGTACACTGTAAAAAAAAAAATAAAATGAATTCAAACCTTGGGGGTTTCTGAGCAGCCGTTAATTGTACATTTTGCACTAACTGGCCGTCGCGCTTCTTGTAAGATTGCGCTTTGCGCTGCAGTTTGTTACCTTTGTAGACTTATTTAATGAAACCATTCAAATAAACCGAACTTGCTTTTGTTGAGCTGTGGGATTTCATTTGCAGCGTTTTTTCTTTTTTCTTTCTTTCTTTTTTTTTGGCTAGGCAATGGGGTTAAGTGACTTGCCCAGGATCACACAGCTACTAAGTGTTATGTGTCTGAGGCCAGATTTGAACTCACATCATCCTGAATCCAGGGCCGGTGCTCCATCCACTGCACCACCTAGCTGCCCCGCAGCCTTTTTTCAATCTGCCAGAGCCTTGGTGTCCCCAGGCTAATAAAAATCCCTACTAATAGCAAATTGAGCCCTTGGCTAAGATAACATTAAAGATACAGAATATCCTTTTTTCCTTTCAGGCATAGGTTGTCAGACATGTAAACAGGGACAAGTTATCAATAGAGAAGAAAGTCCAGAGTAACAACACAGGACTCCATCTAGACGCTGCCATTGAGGGAGAAGGGAGGGGGATGATTAAGATAATATCCATGTCCTAAGCTTTCCAAAAGAGATACAGTGTACTGTGTACACAAAGCATTGTATGACAGCCAAATAGGGAATGCAGCCCGAGGAGCTGACCGACAGTTGCTTTTTCCAATGGAATAGATTGAGGCAACATCCTCACACATACCCTGCATATCAAGGGGTCTTCCTCTATTAACTGAGCAAGCCTACAGTCAGTCATCAGTCAATATTGTAAAGGGATCAAAACAGCTAGATGCAATACTGCACGATAAGTATGTTTTTAAAGGCTCTCGCCGAGTCAAGCTCTCTCTCACAGCACAATGTGCTAGACACTGGGGATGTTAAAAGTCCCTGCCCTCAAAACCATCATAATCTTCATTAGCATTTATATCACATGTTGAGGTTTGCAAAGCACATTATCTAACTTGAACCTGAAAATGAACCTCTGAGGTAGGTGCTATTAGCAACCCAGTGCTTCACAGGCAGCAGTCCCTTGATAAATGCCAGTTATGGTTCTTCTCATTTTAAGGTACAAGTGATCATTATGAACGATTTGAAGGATCAGCCTCTTCAATGGAAGAGAGAGGGAGACAAAAGTAACAGTTCCAGCAACAAGAACAGTCAAGTAGTACAGATTCTTAGTGAATGTCAAGTTTTAAAAGCAGATTACTACACTTATTCCAAAAATGGGGAGTGGAGGTTTTAGTAGTAGTTGTTGAACCACCCTGTGCCAACTCCCTGGCTCTGCAGGAGTGCTCTCTTTTTTGAGACCCAAAAATTTCTCCTGGAGCCTGAGCTGCTGCAAAGCTGTTGGTCTGGAACCTTTATGCAGACTACGCTTCCAGGTATTTGATCTTCAAGGTATTGAAATAAATGCAGGCTGTGGGCGCCATAAAAAGGTGATAATCTCAAATGAAAAAAAGAGAAAAGGGAGCAGAAGTATTAAGCAGCAAAGCTTGGTTGTCTTTTTTTTTTTTTTCAGCGAGGCAATTGGGGTTAAATGACTTGTCCAGAGTCACCCAGCTGGTGAGTGTTATGTGTCTAGGGCCGCATTTGAACTCAGGTCCTCCTGAGTGCTCTATCCACTGTGCCACCTAGCTGCCCCTGGGTTATCTTTATTCTCAAGATGTTTTACCCATTGGTTATATCAAATTGGCTTGGTCTCCCACTCTTAATTGAGGGAATGTGCTTACTACTAATGGAAAATAGGTACTGCTAGAAGCTGCCAACTAGCAAACTCACAAAACCTACATTTTATTAACAAATTTGTAGCACTTAGGGAGAACAAATGACTGAGACCAATAGCAAAAGGAGAGGTATTTACCTTCACACCTAAGGACCACTTCTCTGAGTGGCTCTGCTGGTCTTAACCAAGCTTTTATAAGCTGTACAGACCTCTGATTGATTGGCACTCCTTCCACAGCACTTGGGTTCTAAAAATGTTGTTGACTTCTTGAGTTTTATCTGCAGTCTATTTAGAAGACAGTTTACTGAAATCTGCTGGATTAAAAAAATGTAGCAAGACTCACTAGATGGTACCTCAAAACCATCACTTTGGGAAAATGCTTTGACTCAAGTCTGGTAAGTCCAAGGGAGTAAGACTTATGTTCCCTAAGGAACATAACTGGCTCTAATTCCAACCTCAGGGCCATGAAGGGGGTAAAGTGCTCTTCTGCATGGCCTCCTTCTGATATTCCTAGGTCCTTATATGGCCGAGTAATTTAAGGGTTCCAGGCCCCAGTTAATGGGAATCCAATTTTCTTTTCTTCAGGCTCTGGCTCTTCCTGTAAGGGCTACAATTCCCTGTGGAAAATTCAAAGAAACTGATCAAATGTCTGAAAATAATATGTTAAATACATACAGATATAAACAACAATCAGCTATCAGTTGACTCCCCCTCAACACCACTCTGGCTCGAAGAACACAATGGTAAGAAATTAAATGAACAGAGCATACGTTAGCTTCACACCCACCCACAGTTATATTCAAGTGATCAAAGGAAGGATAACAACAGTGACTATGCAGAACCCTGTGTTAGAGAAGATGTAAGTTTAGACAAGAGTTTCAACCGAAGCACAATATGTTAGGGGAATAAGATGCCAATTCAATTAGGCCAACATTAAGCATCTACTTGGGCAAAGCACTTACAGAGGTGCTAAGGACACAAAACCAAAAATTATACAATCTTGTTCTCAAGGAGCTTACATTCCACCAGAAAAAACAAACACAGCTATAAATAGAATATTAAATGGTAAGTATACGTCAGGGGCACAAAGACCGAAGTGAAATATCTCTTGCCCTAGCAGGACTGAATTCTATCAAGGAACATAAGATGCAGATTATGTTAACAAATGGCCTGCACCTTGCCCCCTGAGGAGGAGTAGGTCTGCCCCAAACCAGAACCCTAGTCAAACAAATCAGAACAACATTCCCTTCCCCTCTTTTGCAGCTTCCTCTCTGGGCTGGCATGAATCTTTGCATAAAAGACTGTCTTTGCTGAACTCAGGACTGAACCCCGGACCTTCCGTATTCTGCATATTCTCTGGTACCTGACAAGGAGGGCCCCTGGTGGCTCAGCTTTGGAGGAATCTTGCCCCAGGCTGTCATGTGATTTTTTAAACCAGGCGTGGCAAGGGGGTGGGATGAACCGGGACCTGAGCTCAGCTCAGGTTTGACAGTATTGATGTCTGCTGCATCCAAAGGGAGATCCCACATTTCCGGGTCATCTATAGATACACAAAGATCACAACAAAATATGTCCACAGGAACGTAATGGGTTTCACACATCTAGCACACAGAAGCTACACTCTTAGCTGCTGGTTCTTTTGACTAGTTAATTTCCTAGTCCCAGAAGAATTAACACTCTAAGCCACACTGACAGAAAATATAGAAAGGGAGGGCCTATAAATATGTACTGATCATGCAGATGAAGCATCTGCTTTCTTTAGAGTAAACATCAGGTGACAGAAAGCAATTTCCCTACCTGGGTGTATCTGTGATAACTTTTAGGAAGTAGAGCAATATGAATCCTACCTGTTCTCTTTTTTTTTTTTTTAACATTCATTTTTTTGTGTGTGTTCCAAATTCTCTCCTTCTCTTCAGTCTAACCACTGAAAAGGCATGCAATATGATACCCATTATAAATATGAAGTCATGCAAAACATAATTCCATATTTGCCATATTGCAAAAAAAATAACAAAAAAAGTGAAAAGATGTATGCCTTTAATGAGAGTTCGTCAGTTCTCTCTCTGGAGGTGGACAGCATTTTTCATGAGTCTTTTGGAATTGTCTTGGATCATTGTATTGATCAGAGTAGCTAAATTCTTCACAGCTGATCATCCTTACTATTGCTGTTACTGTGTGCAATGGTCTCCTAGTTCTGCTCATTTCACTTTGCTTCAGTTCACTTAAGAGTTCCCAGGTTTTCCTGAAACCATTCCCCTTGTCATTTCTTATAGCACAATAATATTCTATCACAATCATATACTATGACTTGTTCAATTATTCCCCAACTGATGGGCATCCCCTCAATTTCCAATTCTTTGCCACCACAAACAGACTTGCTTCAAATATTTTTGTACATATAGGTACTTTTCCTTTTTTAAATCTCTTTGGGATACAGACCAAATAGTGATATTGCTGGGTCAAAGGGTATGCAGTTTTACAGCAGATTGGTTGAATCAGTTCACAACTCCACCATTAGTGCATCAGTGTCCCTACTTTTCCACCCCAGTTCTAGCATTTGTCATTTTCCTTTTCTGTCGTTACTCTGACAGGGGTGAGGGAGGTGGTACCTCAGAGTTGTTTTAATTTGCACTTCTCTAATTAATAGTGATTGAGAACAGTTTTTCATGGCTATGGACAGCTTTGATTTCTTCTGAAAATTGCCTCTCTATACATGACCATTTGGAATGGCTCTTAGTTTTATAAATTTGGCTCAGTTCCCTATGTATTTGAGAAATGAGATCTTTATCACAGAAATTTGCTGTAAAATTTTTCCCCAATTCCCTGCTTTCCTTCTAATTTTGGTTACATTAGTTTTGTTTGTGCAAAACCTTTTTTAATTTTTAATTTAATGTAATTGAGATTATCCATTTTTACTTCCTATGATTCTGTCTATCCCTTTTGTTCATAAAATCTTCCCTTATCAATAGACCTGACAGGTAATTTTTTTCCTTGCTCCCCTAATTTTCTTATGATATTACTCTTTATGTCTAAATCACGTACCCATTTTGACCTTATCTTGGTATGTGGTATGAGATATTGGTCTATGCCTAGTTTCTGCAAACTGCTTTTTCCTCTTCTATCTAAATCAATTTCTATTATTATTTCTTTTCTTTCTTTTGGTGAAAGCTATGAGTTCACTGGTACAGAGAATTCTCCAGAAGAAAACTCTCTCAACCAATGGAGAACTGAAATGTCACACACATGCTATGGTCAGAGTCAGGACCTGAATTCCGGTTGTGGCCTTACAGATTCTAAGAACTGGTCTCTAGCTCCCCCACATATATTTATAACTAAGTTAACCCTTCCATTAAGTGGTGAATATGTGAATGCCTACTTTTGGAAAATGGGATTCCTGTACATCCATAATCTGGTGCTCCCCCCTTTTCCGCTCTTCCAAGGCATTTCCAAAAGTCACTAAAAACAAAAGGATTTTTGAAAGTCTTACAGAAGAATAGTTTTTTACCAAAAGTCTAAGTCTGATTCATTCCACTTGCCCACCCACATTCTGAAAATCAAAATATGTCTCTTCACAACAAGATTTAGCTACTGACCTTCAAGGAATTCTTCCTCAGTGAGTGGTCCTGGGATAGCAGCTGCAGGAGTACTGTGCTTCAAAGGAGGGACTCCAAGTCCTTTGGTTTGAACAAAAGAGAAAAGGCAAAGCAAAGAGTCAGAGAAGGAAAGAATCTCTGCAATTCAGTATCCTACTTTTAATTTAGAAGCCTGACTAAAAGAACAGGTTCCAAGAGGTTAGTTATCAAGCTGGCTTAGGGATCATGCCAGGTCACAAGTCCAGTTCTTTTGACTACCGGTCCAGTCTTCCTTCTGTTCTACCCACCTCAAATCTACAGTTAATAGTCTATTTTTCCCCCTCACAAAAGGGAAACACTCAAGTTATTTCTTCCTTCAGCAATAAAACAAGAAAGATAGAATTCCAGAGCAGAAAGACACTTCAAAAGGAAAGCTTCTTCTACTTCCTAATGCCCCTGAAATAAAATTTGAGGTTTAAGGAAGAAACTCAAATACGGAGCTCATCTATAAATCTCAAGTACAAAGAACTAACAAAAAAACTGAGTTAAACATCGGCTGGTATGGGATAAGCTGAATCATTCCCTACTCTTCTACTGCCTCAACTTTACCCATATCCAAATTAGTTGCTAAATTCTTATAAATTCTGCCTTCATATGGTTCTCATTTATCCCCTTCTCTCCACAAATACGGTCATCAATCACCCTAGTAGTTCAAGTGTTCATCACCTCCTACTTGGACTATTTATAATAGCCATAAATGTATATTTACAATTAGTCTCCCTGCTTTGCAACTCTTGCTTCTCCAATTCATCTTCCATGGAGCTACCAAAATATTCTGTGTAAGGTGCAAGTCTGACCTCCCTATGGTCTCCTCAGCTTGCCATTTAAAGCCCTCCACAACCTAGTTTCAAATGACTTCCCAGTCATTTGGAAAGGGGGCAGCTAGGTGGCACAATGGATAGAGCACCGGCCCTGGATTTAGGAGGACCTGAGTTTCAATCTGGCCTCAGACACATAACACTCACTAGCTGTGTGACTCTGGGCAAGTCACTTAACCCCAATTGCCTCACCAAAAAATAAATAAATATTATTTTGGGATATTTTCATATTCCATTTCATACACTCTTCATTCCAGCCAAAGACATTCCATGTCCCATGTCTATATTTGCATATGCCATCTCCCGTGCCTAGAATGTACACCGTCAGAAATTCACCCCTTCAGAATCCTTCCTTGCCGTCAAGGCTTGGCTTAGGAATGACTCCTCACCCTGATCCTTAAGCTGTTAATGCTCCTCTCTTCCTCCTCCAATTACCATGCCTTGCTAGGTACATACATGCATGCATGCATGCATGCATGCACATATGCACCACATACAAATATACACATTTTATCCCCACAATTTAGAACATAACTGAGGGCTTTGTGTCTTAAACACTTGTCAGAGTATTTAATAAATGTCTGTAAAAGTAAACTGAGCACAGTGGATAGAGCACTGGCCCTGGAGTCAGGAGGATCTGAGTTCAAATCCAGCCTCAGGTACAATGATACTCACTAGCTGCATGACCCTGGGTAAGTCACTTAACCCCAACTGCCTTGCCAAAAAAAAAAAAGTAAACTTTTACCGGATTTCATCTCAAGACAATAATGTAAACTACAGAAAGTCAATACTCCATTCCCCACACCCTGCACTATTACTGTGAGATTCTTTTCATATTGAAGACCACCCCAGCGAATCCCAGGAAAAATTCCTGGTTGCTGTGTGAAAGAAAAGAAGTCTTAACTCCCGAAAAGGACAATGTCTTGGGGTTACCATTTCTTCAGATGAAATTCTTTTCAAGTACAGGCTGGACTACATAGTTTCTGAGGTTTCTTCCAATTCTGAGAATTCTGTGATTCCTTCCCAGCATCCTCTGCCCTATCTACACCTTGTAGTTTTGAGTTAAGTCTAGTTTTGAGTTCATCAAACAATTACTATAAGACATAATCAAAACATTATTTCATATGATAATACCTTCCTTTCCTGGCATTGCTTTGTATGACCATAGCGTCCTACTATTCCACCTCTCTCCATTCACCCCTCCTATTCTTCACCTCATTGTGACCTCTCATTCCTCTACCCTTCATACTTTCTCGGACCATTACCCCGATTTGACTTTTTCTTCCTTCCTGATCTGAAATCTTAAGAGTTAACTAAATCAGCTCTACACTACATCATCTCTCACATCCCTCACCCCACTTGTGCTATCATCGCTCAACCTCTGCCAAACCCCACCCTGGGCTGACTCCCTCCATCTGTCTTCTCTGCTTCAGCTCACAGGCTGCCGAGTACAGCTGGACCATGCTGATGAACTGCACTAAAAATCCATGTTATGGACTCAACCGGGCCCTCACTACAGAAAAACAATCATTTTAATAATAATTATAACAGCACTTCAAGATTTGCGAAGTGCTTTACATTTGTTATCTCTTTTGGTCCTCACAACAACCCTGTGACAGTGGTGCTATTATTAATCCCATTTTACAGATGAAGAAACTGAGGTTAAGTGACCTCATGGAGGTTAAGTGAGTGACTTGTCCATGGTCTTACAGCTAATGTCTGAGATAAGATTCAAATTCAGATCCTCTTGATTCTTAAGTCCACAACTGTATCCACTGCACCATCTAGATGCCTCCTTTTATTTTTATTTTATTCCTCGTTGATTCCCTAGCTGAACTCCCTCAGAAGTGATTCTAAAACTTCTCTTCTCAAGCCTGCCACAACTCCTCCTTCCCAGACCCTTTCAGCTGAAGACCTTGCCTCTTATTTCACTGCAAAAATGTAAGCTATTCAACATAAGATCTGTCTTCTCCCCTTCGCTTGATATCATCCACAGCTCTGTTCCTTTCCCTTAGTTTCTGATGACGAGGTAGTCCTTCTCATATAGTGCAGGCCAACACCTCTACATATACCCTTGATTCTATTCTCTTCGTTTCTGCTCCAGCAGAAATCATCATCGATCATTCCTTCTCTCTCTCACCTTCAACCTCTTCCTACTTAATGATTCCTTCTCTACTGCCTTCAAACATGACCATCCTTAAAAATCCTTTAGTGGGGGGCAGCTAGGTGTGCAGTGGATAGAGCACCGGCCCTGAAGTCAGGAGGACCTGAGTTCAAATCCGGCCTCAGACCGAAGACTTGGCACTTACTAGCTGTGTGACCCTGGGCAAGTCATTTAACCCCAATTGCCAAAAAAAATTTTTTTAAAAATTAAAAAATAAAAAAAATCCTTTAGTAGACCCTATCATTCCCTCAAGTTATCAGTCACTAAAGTGATTTTCCAAAGCACAAATCTGGTGTCACCTTCCCCACCTTCCTCAACAAATTCCAATAGCTCCTTATCTCCTCCAGGATCAAATACAAAATGCTAGGCCATTCAAAGGCTCCTCCTACCCTTCCAGTCTTCTTACACCTTAGTCTCTTGACTTACTCCTTCAATCTAGTGACACTGGCCACCTGGCTGTTCCACAAACAAGACACTCCATCTCTCAACTCTAGGTATTTTCTCTGGCTATCCTCCATACCTCTGATACTCTCCATCCTCTGCTTAGCCTACTGACCTCCCTGGCTTCCTTTTTTTTTTTTTTAAATAAATTAATTTATTTTTAGTTTTCAACAATCACTTTCGTAAGATTTTGAGTTTTAAATTTTCTCCCCTTCTCTCCCCATCTCCATCCCCAAGACAGAATGCAATTGGATATAGGCTCTATTAAACATATTTCCACATTAGTCATATTGTAAAGAAGAATTACAACCAATAGGAGGAACCACAATTAAGAAACAAAACAGAACAGAAGAAAAAAAAAGAGCAAATAGTATGCTTCGATCTGCATTCAAACTCCATAGTTCCTTCTCTGCATGTGGATAGCATTTTCCATCATGAGACTTTTGGAGATGTCTTAGATTCTTGCATTGCTAAGAAGAGCTAAGTCTATCAAAATTAGTCATCGCACAATGTGGCTGTTACTAAGTACAACATTCTCCTGGTTCTGCTCATTTCACTCTGCAATCAGTTCATTTAAGTCTTTCCACTTGCTCATCCTTTCTTACTCCGAAATAGCATTCCATTATATTCATATACCACAACATGTTCAGCCATTCCACATTTGATGAGCTTCCCCTCAATTTCCAATTCTTTGCCACCACACAAAGAGCTGCTATAAATATTTTTGTACATGCCGGTCCTTTTCCCATTTTTATGATCTCTTTGGGATATAGACCTAGAAGTGGTACTGCTGGGTCAAAGGGTATACACATTTTTATAGCCCTTTGGCCATAGTTATAAATTGCTCTCCAAAACGGTTGGATCAGTTCACAATTGCACCAAAAATGCATTAGTGTTCAAATTTTCCCATATCTCCTCCAACATTTATCATTTTCGTGTTTTATCACGTTAGCCAATCTGATAGGCATGATAGGGTACCTCAGGGTTGTTTTGATTTGCATTTCTCTAATCAAGTGATTTAGAGCATTTTTTCACAGATAGTTTTAATTTCTTCATCTGAAAACTGCCTGTTCATATCCTTTGACCATTTATCAATTGAGGAATAACTTGTATTCTTATAAATTTGACTTAGTTCTCTATATATTTTAGAAACAAGGCCCTTATCAGAGACACTGGTTGTAAAAATTCTTTCCCAGTTTTCTGCTTCCCTCCTAATCTTGGTTGCATTGGCTTTGTTTGTGCAAAAACTCTTCAATTTAATGTAACCAAAATTATCCATTTTGCATTTCATAATGTTCTCTATCTCTTCTTTGGGCACAAGTTCTTCTCTTCTCCACAAATCTGACAGGTAAACTACTCCTTGCTCTCCCAGTTTGCTTATAGTATCACCCTAAATCATGTACCCATTTTGACTTTATTTTGGTACACGGTATAAGATGTTGGTCTATGCCTAGTTTCTGCCATACTATTTTTCAGTTTTCCCAGCAGTTTTTGTTAAATAGTGAGTTCTTATCCCAGAAGCTGAAGTCTTTGTGTTTATCAAACAGTAGGTTACCACAGTCATTGTCTACTGTCTTTCATACCTAACTTATTCCACTGATCCACCACTCTATTTCTTCCTGGCTTCCTTTTAAGTCCCAATTAAAATCCCATTTTCTACAAGAAATCTTCCTCAACCTCTCTTGATTCCAGTGCCTTCCCTTTGTTAATTATTTCTTATTTATCATGTAGATAGCTTGTTTGTATATATTTGTGTGCATGTTGTCTTCCCAATTCGTGAGCTCCTAGAGGGAAGGGACTGCCTTTTTACTTTTTTGTAATCCCAGCACTCAGCACAGTTCCTGGCACATAGTAGGGGATTAACAAGTGTCTACTGATTGATTCTCTATCTCCCTTTCCCTTTCTCAAGCCAAACTACTAGAAAAAACTGTCTATACTCTCTGCCTTTCTTATTAGTTTTTGGTTTTTTGGGTTTTTTTTTTTAGGCAATTGAGGTTAAGTGACTTGCCCAGGGTCACACAACTAGTAAGTGTCAAGTGGTTGGTCTGAGGCCGGATTTGAACTCAGGTCCTCCTGATTTCAGGGCCGGTGCTCTATCCACTGTGCCACCTACCTGCCCCCCTGCCTCTCTTCTTCCTCAACTCTTCGCAATCTGGATTCCAACCTCATTACTCAAATGAAACTGTCCTCTCCAATATTACCAATTATCTCTTAATTGCCAAATCTGATGATATTCTCTCAGCCTATCTGACCTCTTTGCTGCATACTCCCATAATACCCTCTCCTCTCTTTGCTCTCCTGACACTACTCTTCTCCTGGTTCTCCACCAAAACTGTCCGACTGCTCCTAAGGCTCCTTTGCTGGCTCACATCCATCTCATGCTCCCCGGCTGTGATTGTTTCCCAAGGCTCTGTTCTTCATACACAGCATTGGGTCCGTGCCTTCGCAGAACTTCTTTCCCATGCCTGGAATGTACCCTGCCTTTTCACCTCTGCCTCAGAGTATCCGTCCCTTCCTTCAAGACACAGCTCAAGTGCAACCTTCTACGTGAATGTCCCCTTCAACTACCTTGTTTTATTTGAATTCTCTTTAAATTTATCCTGCATATACTTATATATGTGCTTTTTGTTTCCCCCAAAAAAAGTATAAATACTCCTAGTGATTGTTTGCCTCTTAGTCTTTGTACCCCCTAATATGGGGCCTGGAACACAGCAGGCACTTAAGAAATGATCCCTAGAAGAGACGTGGCCTCCCATCATCCCTGGGCACCTGCTCTCTCTGTCCTCAAGGGTTCCGCTGCTGGCTCTTCTGATATACTATGACTATGAAATTCCCCTGAAGGAGCTGCTATTTGATGCTGCTGCTGCTGCTGCTGCTTCTCCATCTGCTCCCGAAACTCCTGCTGAAGCTGCTTTTGCCGAAGCTTCCTCTGGTATGTGGCATCCCCCTCAAAGGACAAGATGTTTCTGCTTTAGAAAGAGAAAGATATAGAAAGCATAAGTCTGTTTCTCTATTCCATAGAGACTAAAAGAGTTCTAATGATAGGAGTTGGAAGCTCCCTAATAGGAGTAACAGGAAGAGATAGGGACAGAAGAAAGATGGGAGAGTTGAGGGTCCCCTACCATAAGCCATTTCCTGGCTCGCCCTCTGCCACGATGGCTGGAGCCTCTGTGCAGCCTGCTCCGCCAGGGGACATCACCTCCTTCACCTGTGGGGGTGCAGGAACCATTTTCTTTAGGCAGCTTCGATATCTTGTCTGCTCTACAGAGGGTTCAAAGTCCTGTCTTTTGATATTTGCTAGGTCCAGTTCAGATGGGAGCTATTGAAAAAAGCAAAAACATGACAATCTAAATTTTATCATACTCTGTTCTATCTTTCCTCTAATTCCTGAGAAAGTTAAAGCAACACATGAGTTTCATCATGTATTTTGTTAAGGACCTGGCATGTTTCCTTTCAAGATATGGGATCTGTTTATCCTATTGCCAACAACAAAATACGTACTAACAAAACATTCTGCCCAAACTTCCTAACACCACTCCCACCACCTTCTCTGCTTCTACTCACATGCCTTCATCACTGCTAGAGGAAATCAAACAATGTTGTCTACAGGGACCACTACAAATTCATGTTTCCTAAGTACAAATGGGCCATCACTGGTGCATAACAATTCTGTGGACTTTTTCTTTCCCAGGATGACATGGCAAATGCCAGTTGTCCCAAACTCTTCTGATCAAGCCCCAAGCCACTCTCCCTACCTGGCTCCCAAAAAAAGACTTTGCCTCCTACTTTATTAAGAAAAACCAGGCCTCCAGGCAATAGGTCCCTCATCTTCTTGACTCTATATGCCATAAACACTTTTCATCTTCACCCATCCTCATCTCCTTTCCTCAAGTCCTTCAAGAAAAGGAGGTCTTTCTCCTTGCCAAGGACAACCCCTTTATTTGTTCATTTGGTCCCAAATGCTCCCATATCTTGTCCCAATAATCATTCATTCTTCTTCTTTCTTACCTTCAATCACCTTAAAAAAAACTTTTACCTGACTCTGTCATCCTCTCAAGCTAAACCCTTTTACTGCCAAATTCCTACTAGAAAGAGTAGTCTACTCTTTACCTTTATTTCTCCACTACCCAATCAGTTTTTAGACCTTTGTAATTTGGCTTGTGACCGCACCATTCAACTAAAACTGTTCTCTGAAAGGTAACTAATAATCTCTCAACTGCTTTGTTTTCTGATGCCTTTTCTCAATCCTCATCCTCCTCACCTTTCTGTAGCTTTTGACACTGACAAGTACCTTTTCCTCCTGGATATTGTCTCCTCTCTCTGGACATTACTCTCTTCAAAATCTCCTGTCTGACCATTCTTTTTCAGTTTGATTACCTAACTAAGGGTGATGCCAGGTCATCCTCTTCCAATCTCTCTCTCTCCTTTTTTTTTTTTTTTTTTTTTTTGCTTTTTGGTGAGGCAATCGGGGTTAAGTGACTTGCCCAGGGTCACACAGCTAGGAAGTGTCAAGTGTTTGGTCTGAGACCGGATTTGAACTCTAGTCCTCCTGACTCCAGGGCTGGAGCTCTATCCACTTTGCCACCTAGCTGCCCCTTTCCTCTCTCTTCTAAATATACATATCCAAACTTAATCTCTCTCTTGATTCCAACCCTACATCACCAGCAACCAAGCAGATTTTCAAATGGTCTCTCAATATGTGCCAAATTCATCATCTTTCCTCCTAAAACCACATGGACACTTCCAAACTTCCTTATTTTTGTCAAGATTCACAATACTAGTTACAGTTGCAAGTTACCCAAGTTTACAGCCTGAGTCATCCTTGACTATTCCTTTCTCACTCCCATCATCCAATCCACTGCCAATTTTTATTTTTATTTTTTTTAGGCAATTGGGGTTAAGTGACTTGCCCAGGGTCACACAGCTAGTAAGTGTCAAGTGTTTGGACTGATGCTGGATTTGAACTCGGGTCCTCCTGACTTCAGGACCGGTGCTCTATCTACTGTGCCACCTACTTGCCCCCACTGCCAATTTTTGTCAATTCAACCTGCATAACATTCCTCCAGTCTCTCTCTTCTCTTTACTCAGTTATCACGCTAATTCAAGTCCTCATCACATCTTAGCTGGACCATTAAGACAACTTCGGGACTGGTTTCCCTGCCTCTTGTCTCTCTCTCCTCTCTAATCCATTCTCCATAGAACTTCCAAGACAATCTTCTTAAGGTATAGATTTCATGATGTCACTCCCTTGCTCAAAAACTACCAGTGGCTCTCTATTGTGTCTAGGATAAAAATACCAATCCTCAGCCTGGCCAGGCCCTCTGCAGTCTGGCTCCAATTGACCTATCCAGCCTTATTTCACAGCATTCCTTTTCACTAATGTTAAATTCCAGCCAAAGTGTATTACCAGGTATTCCTCCAATTTAACATTTCATCTCAAGTATAGGTTGGACTAGATCGCTACTAAGGTCTCTGCCAGATTATACAATTTCTATTTCTGTTCACATTCTTAGACGTCTCCCACACTTCTAATGTACTTCCATCTCACAGCTACATTTCACAATTGGTCTTCCTTCAAGGTTTGGCTGTGGTGCCACCTCCTCAATTTACCTTGCATTTCCATGCCTGTGTACATTTTCTATACCCTAGAAGAATGGATTCTTAAGAGCAGAGATTATATCATTTTTAGTCTTTCTTTCGATAGCACCTAGCATAACAAATGCTTAATGAATAGTTGCTGAAGGTATTCCTTGACAGAAACATAGTAGGATAAATATGGGCCAAATGATTACAGGCCATTACTATTATGACAAATTCAAAGCGATCAAGAAGTACTTTTTCTTCAATTTTGTACTGTAACCTGAAGAAAATTCATTCTACCATGGAACATGATTAATTTCCTAGTGTTATCCCTGTCCAACTGAGCATCACATTTTGTTCATTAAACTCCTGAATATAAAATATCCCGTCAAAGAATTACTTTAACTACATAACAAGCAAATCCTTTTCTCCACTTCAGCAGCGTTTCCAGATATTGTACCACAAAATTCAAACTGGTCATCTCAAAAAATTCAGTTTTTCTCTTAGTTCCTCTCTGCTCCAAATTATAACCAGCAGTATTGATGCCCATAAATCATGCTCTCTACTCTCTTCCTTCTTCCTGCTACTCAATTTCTGTCCCTTTACCTCTCATTCAAAAAGGAAAGCGGACTTGTCTCTGGTTAATACAATCTATTAAAAATATTATTCAGGGATGCTGGAGGATTCCTATGAGTTTCCTTCTTCTTCCGCCATTACCATGGTTAAGAATGTCCTTTTTAAAGATCTTTCTTAGTTTTCTCAACAATTGGATTTGGAATCTCCCCAATAATACAAAGACAGGGTCATGAATTTGAATTTGCCACAACAGGCCAAGGTATGTCCATTTACCCTTTCCCATTCACAGTGTAATTTCTCACATACATACCTGCCGTGGAAGCTTGTTTACAGACTTCAGATAATCCTTGTCCAAGATACAATTCCCAAGAGCATTCCCAAAACACCTGGAAATAAAAAGAGAAATGGAGCATGTGAGCAAGCAGGGTAGGAATACCACTTTTGAATAGTAGTAATAATAGTGTTTCTTTCACAAGCACCCTACGAGGAAGGTAATACCAGTATTCATAACTCCATTTACAGAGAAGTGATCCTGAATTCCAGGAGATTTAATTTAGATCCCAGAAAGTCTACTGCCAGGGACCAGGATCCAAAGAAGCCCTCTAATTCCATTATGCTATTCAGCTCAACCTCTGAAGGCAGGTGTTAGAAGTAAGTGATCTGACCAAAACCCATGTAGCTTACCTGAGTGCTCGCTTCAGTCCATCTGTCACTGCCTCCTTTCTCGCCTTCTCCAAAGACAAAGCCTTTGACTTTAGGCCCTCACTAACACCGTAACCAACATCTTCATGATATGAACCATCCTGAAATAGAGGAGTTAAAACATGAGAGACTGCATCCCACCCTCTGGGCCACAAAGCTGTCCTTGTCCTAAGGAACACTGTCCTGGACACAACCCAAAACTTCAGGACTAGCCTGTTGTCATGCAACCAGGCCCAGTTTGGGAGCTCTGGAAGATGCTGTGGGATTTTAGTCACGTGCAATAATACAGAGATCTTTCCAATGATTCCAACCCTACCCACAAAGTTCATGCAGGTGGCACTTCCTTCACTTTTACTTTTAAATGGCTGATATTTATATCACACTTTAATGTTTACAAAATATTTTACTTATTTCATTAGATCTTTGTAACAACCCCTGTGAGGTAAATATTATTATCCACATTTTAAGGAAGAGAATACTGAGACTGAGAGAGGTTAAGTAACTCACCCGTGGTCACAAAACTTCCCTCACCTTTAGCTGGACCCTCACAAATGCACAGACCCCCACGTAGAATTTGCCATTATTGAGGTCAACAAAATCTAAGAATAAGAAGTAGACAGAGTTACACAGAATGCCAGACTCTAAGTCCCACTTTACATTCACACTCAGCCACACCAGAAGCATGGCAACTCCATGAATAGGAAGAAGTATGAACGAAAGAGGCCTTTGCTACCAAGAAGCATACTCACCCACATTTTGCTGTGTGATAGAATGAGCCCAGCCATTGTAGCCAAACATTTCATTGGCCAGACTGATGACCCTATGACCTTCAATGTAACAGACCTGAAGGCAGAAAAACTTGATGAAAATCCATTGCCACACTTCAATATAAGCTAAATTATACCTCAAAAGCTAACTCCTGAACATTCCAGACAAATGTCTATATAGCATACTTTAAAGGACTGCTTGATCTGAAATCGTCAGAATTAATGGTCTATCAGAGTAGCCCAAAAAGTGGCATAAAGTATGTCATGGCAAGGAGATAGCCCTCAATTCTTGAAGGCTTGCCTTTGCAATATGTATGTCATCTGAGGGCCAATCTAATTAAATCTGGAAATATTTATCCTCAGGATGCCAGTAAATAGTTTTAGGCACACCAGCTCACGAGGGTCATCTTCTAAGCTGCAGAAGGGTAATAACCTGAATTAGTAGAGAGAGGACTCACCACTGATAAAAATACATATCTTTTAAAGTCCTGCTTTCCCATGCTGCTTCAAAGTTGCCATGGTCAAGGAAAATCATCGCCTGGTACACAACCTTCTTGTAATGAATCTCCAAATTTAACTAAGATTTCAGATGTCAGATCTATTCAAAGTCTCTCTAGCTTAGTAGCCTTCAAAATCAACAAGGTTACTACCCTTGTATATCAGTGTAATCTACTGGGACACCTGAATGATCTATGATGCTGCTGATTTGGCTGTTCCTTCCTACAACACAGATTGAAACCCCTCTAGGACTTAGTAGATGGTCTTCGGAAGGTACTGCTGCTTCTTTCTATTTTATTTAAGATGGCCCTCAGATGACAGAGAAAGGCTATTGCCAGACCCATATCAAAAATCTTTCCCGACTGGCAGAATATACCACAGTTCATTCGGCTTTGAGAACAAGGGTTACATCCTAGCCATAACAAGGAATAGATCTTTCATGTAGGACAATGAAATAGGATATGTGTGTGTTTTAAATAAAACAAAGGCACACCGAGGAGAAGTTTCATTCGATCCTCACGATAACCCTGGGGGAAGAGGGGGAAGCCCAGAAGTAAGAAATGAAAGAGATCACATATCCTTCAACTGCCAGTGCAGCATATCTCCCAAAAGAAGAACTAACCTAGCCAGAAGACAGATTAAATATCAGAAGTTAAAGTAGATAGTAAATGGTAAGAGCAGATGAAACAGGAAGAAATTAAGAGATGTCCAGTCAGGTCTCAGAAGCCACAAGCCTTTTTCTCTGAGGGACTGGAAAATATCTATCATCAAAAGAGAACTGGCTGTCTGGGTCTGTCTCGACACGGAAGGCACTAGAAAAGCAAGAGGAGTTTCTGAGAGCCCCATGTTCTTGCTGCTGGGGACACAGAGATGACAGCTTTCAAGACTTTCTTTTACCTTTTGGCCACCTCCAGCTTGTCGGCTACTGATGTACTCGGGGCCCAGCCTTTGTCTCAAAGCATTTTGGATGGCCTGGTACTCATCTGCTGTGTACTGGTACTGAAAATGTAAAGCAGGTAAATTAACTCTTTCAGTATTCCTGCCATCACTCATTATCCCCAATACAATGCTTTTAAGCAAAAAGAGAACTATGACCCCAAAGTTCATAGATGAAAAAAATACACTCTGAGAAATAAAGGAGAGAAATCTGGAGTTCTTACTTTCCACTGCAAACAATTTTTTTATTCTCTTTCCCTCCCTAAATACACCACCCAAAAATCTCATTCAATTCATTCATTCATCATATGTTCTTTGAATACTATGTACAAACCCCTGTTAGGCTGTATGAAAGAAGATAAATAAAATGTGGCTTGTGCCCTCAAGAAAATGACAATCTAATAGGTATTACTACTACTACCACCACCAGCAGCAGCAGTTAACATTTATACAGCACTTACTATGTGCCAGGCACTTTGCTAGGTGCTTTTTACAAATATCATCTCACTTGTCCCTGGCAGGTAGATGCTATTATCATCACTCCCATTTTACAAATGAGGAAACTGAGACAAACAGGTCTTGCCCAGGGTCAAACAGCTAATAAATGTCTGAGGTTGAATTTGAACACAGGTCTTCCTGACTCCAGGCCTGGTGCTGTATCTACTGCTCTACCTACTATTTCATAAAATATGTAAGTACCATAAGTGAGATTAAAAAAAAAAAGCACTAATGGAATTCAGAAAAGGACGAGATGATTTCTAACAGACTGGGGAAGGCTTTATAGAGCAGTGCTACTATTTGACCTAAGCACTGAAAGATGGAAAGACCTTGGGAAGGGTGAAGATAAGGAATGGCATGAGGATAGTGACAGGTGTAAGAAAAAGAGGGACAAGTTTGAGGAACAGAATAATCCAGTATGGCTAGAAATACTGAATAAGAGAACAGTGCTAGGTGTGTGCCAGATCATTAACATAGTTGGATACAATATGGATTTTATTCCATACGTGGTCAGAAGTCACTGAAGATATTGAGACAAAGGAGTAAAAGAATCAGAGCTATAGTTAAAAAAAAAAAAAAGAGATAGAGTTGGAATAAAAGCCCCATGTTCTTATTTCTATGCCTCTTCCCTGAGGATTTTCAATCCACACCTTTCAAATAGAATAGCTGCCCAGATTATACCTATGCCAATGAGAAAAACAGAAGACAGAGAGAGGCAAAGAGAAATGACCTTGTTTCTTCTCTCTCTTGACATGACTCCATCTTTAAATTGGGTTCATCTTCAGCATAAATGAAGCAGGCACATTCACTTTCCCTATGGATTAAGTTTTAACCTTCATCCTCAAATTCTTGCTTAGACTTTCATAATACATTGTAATTACCAGCCTCCTCTTCTCACTGTCACAAAGTTGTAAGATGTTGCTAACTGATACCTAAAAATTATAGCAAGTTTGAGATAAAGCATACCTGCCCTTCCTTTTTATAGACAGACAGATAACTATACATATACATATACACACACACATACATACACATACACACACACACACACACACACACACACACACACACACACTTATATACACTGGCTGGGAATTTTTACATTCAGAGCTCAATTAATCAATTTTATTATGAAATGTGGGGTTCTTCCACAACACAAGTGAAGACAGCTAGAACTCAAGTAATTACTACTCTTGGTCAAGATAAAGTTCTATTCCCAACCAACTTCAAAGATGCAGAGACACAAGGGGAAGAAACCTGAAGACTCACCTGCCCAAAACACAACACAGAACTTCCATTGGGAGTACCAGGAAGGATTTCATGGCTTTTAAAGCTTGCGCCCTGATTCTCAGGCATCCTGATTCTGGTTTCTCACTAGGGAGCAATGGTATAATACAAAGATCTCAACAAAACTGGAGAAAGGGAAAGAGAAAATTATAAAACCAAGCAAAATGTCTTCCTGTCTTATAGTCCAGTCCTTTTGCATCATCCATTTATCCATCAGTTCTCTACCAAACCACAGTTCATAACTCTAAGGGTACTTCAGAAGTCAGATTCTGCCAATCAAGGCGTCAAGGGTCCTCTGGATTTTGCTTCTACCTTACACTTTAAAAATTATGTACCTAAAGGAAAGAAGAAGTCTCTGTAGAAAGTAAGACTTGCATCAGATCCATATCTGAAGAGCAAATTTTAAGTGTTCTTTTATATCCTCTGAATCATAAACTAGCTCTTTAAATAAGGTTGTTACTTAACTGCTCAAATAACAGATCTCTTATTTACCACAATGTTTTAGGCCACATACACCTGTAGACCACTCTCCTTGACCTAAAAATATGAAGAGGTGACTTTGAGCCCCATTATAAGATCTGCTTTCTTAGTAGGGATGCCTACTGACTACTGGTACATGGTGCTAAATATAGTATCAAATATCACTGCTCTATCCACTGGCTTTAACTGTTTATCTTTGTTAAAGTAGGAGTCCAGTTGAATAGAGAATATTATTAAGAAGCAGTCAATCAGGCCTTGTGTCAAGATTGCATGAATAGGAACAAACAACCCAATTCCCACACACACTCTAGAAAACATGCAAGATTTACAATGATTAAGGAATAAAGAGACAGGGGCAGCTAGGTGGTACGGTGGATAGAGCTCTGGCCTTGGAGTCAGGAGGACCCGAGTTCAAATCTGGCCTCAGACACTTGACACTTACTAGCTATGTGACCCTGGGCAAGTCACTTAACTCTGATTGCCTCACCAAAAAGCAAAAAAAAAAGAGAGAGAGAGAGAGACAGAAGCTACAGTAAGCATCTTTATTCAGTCTAAGTGGCCAAAGCGAGGTACGCAGAAGCCTGCAGAAACTACAGGGACCAAGAGAGGAAATTTGGTCTTCCAAGTAATTCACGTTAATATTGCAGCCAGGAAGCCAGAGGACAGTCAAGAACTTGACAGAACTCAAAGGAAAAACAAAGAGTTCTCCATTAAGGAGACTCCAAGGAGGTTAAGCACCCTCTGGGCTCTGGGCTTCATGTCTGGAACATGAAGACTAGAACCTGAAAAGTGACAAAGTTCTTATCTAGAGGTCATGATAACTTGACATTCTCCACATTAATATGAACTTTACTTTATGGCCTTGAAGAGCTCATTCCTCAGTAAAGGGCAGCCAGTGACTCACTCTTAAGTACAGAGCAGAGATAAGTGGAAATGGGGGCTAACAGCAAACCCCAGAAAACACAGATCAGGACCAAAGAGGGGCCTACCAACCCTACCGGGAGTGCAGGTTCAAAGAATCACAGAACCTTCCTTCGAGGTCATCTAGTTCGACTCCTCTGCTTAAGTAATCCACCCTCTGCTAAGGAACACACTTCCTCCATAAGCAGCTAATTTCATTTTTGCATAGATCTATTTATTATTAAGTTCTTCCTTATTAAGTACGAATGTTTGATTTAAATCAGAGAAGAGCATGGGACAATTAAAAGCACTATGGATCTTCCCAAATAAAATCTAGCCTAGTATCCACCCATTCAAGGCTGGCCCCTGTTCATTGTCCATCTGTAATCCCTATTTAAGATTAGTCCTAACCGACTAGATAAATGTACGGCCATCCAACTGCATGTGATAATCTGGGCAGCATATGTTTTTTAATTACTTAGTTTTTCCTGTATAGATTACCAGGAAAATCTCATTTTTGTGGCTGTAGATCTCACTGGAGAGGGTTTCATGGCTCCAAGTAATCAGCAATATGTTGTCTACAAACAAAAACCCCTGGAGAATCTACTATTAAAAAAATCCCATTTCACTTGGCCTTTGTATAGGACATTTTTCATGCCAGTGTCAACATTTTAAGCAAACCTATTTCCATCCTTTTTGCCTCAAATGACACTGGTAATCAGAGGTTCACTAAATAGTTTTCTGGTTGCAAGTACTAAGAAATTTCATATGGTCTTAACATATGAATGGGAGACTTGTTATATACCCATAAGATTTTTTTTTTTACTACCAAGTCAAAAGCTTTTTTTGTAATCAAATTATAACCACAGTAGGATCATGAAATCTTGATACCACTCAAATATATTGCTATGAAAACGTGATTTGATGTAGAAAATCATTTGTGAAGGCAAGCCAGTTCCCTTCTCATATTTTCAAGGACAATAAACATGATACATGTGTAAACAATTCTCATAACAACTTTACAGAGACAAGAAATTAGGCATTTGAACTGTAATTAAAGATATCACTTCACTTCCCTTTTCTGGTAATAATGTGGTCTTTGGAAATCTTCCCCCACTTTGAGATTAAGAGCTAGGATTGTTTCATTCTTTGTATTATTATTTCCAGCACTTAGCACAGTCCTTGGTATATAATAAGAGTTTTAAAAATGTTTGCTGGCTGATTATTGGACAGATATCTTGAAAATAAAACACTAAATTCAGATTGAGAAACATTTTCTGGACATAGGTAGAAACAAGTAGAACTTGTTTTGTTTGACTATACATAATTATAACAAGGGTTTTTTTTTTCTTTCTTTCTTTCTTTCTTTCTTTCTTTTAGGGGTAGGGGGAGATAAAATAAATTTTTGTTAATTAAAAATTTTATCTCTATGTAAACTGACTCCCAGAAGTTTACTGTTTCATGTAGTATGTTTTTTGTGTCTAAATGTTGATGGTTACTAAATTAATGACTTGGTTTTCTAAGAAATAAAGAACCTGACTATTAAAAAATGTACATAAGAAGCCTGGGCAATAGATCTTGTAATAATCAGCTCTCTCTTACTTTAAGTTTAAAATAACCATCATTTACATCTTTCCTAAAAGGAGCTACTGAATTAAATTTTCAGAGTCTTCTTCACAACTACACCCACACAAGTTTCAAAACTGAAAATCATGGGAGAATCACAACCAGAAGGAATCTTAGTCCAACTTCATTTTCACAGAGGAGGAAAATGAAGTTCTCAAAGGAAAGTGATTTGCGCTAGCACTCACACACAGCTACTTAAGGCAGAACTAATAATCATAACAAGTATTTATACAGCCCTTTAAGGTTTGAAAAGCATTTTCATAATAACTCTAGTGGGTAGGTGCTGTCATTATTTCCATCTTACAGATAAGGAAACTGAAGCAAACAAAGGGTAAATGAACCAGGGTCACACACCTAAGAAGTGTCCGAAGCATGATTCAAGCTCAGGTCTTGCTGCTCTCCAGAGACCATCAAGTCTCTTGACTTTAAATCCAAGGGTATTGCAACTACACCAATTATAAGAAATACATTCCAAAACTGCCTCTATTGCTATACTATAATGTCGTGGTATAATATGCTAACATGCTTATAACAGCATTAATATTATCAATAACAATAATAGCAATATTATACCTAATGTGCATAGGAAGAAAAGTGGTGTAAACACCCCCAAAACAAAGGTTTCCTTATAGACTTTTGAGAGTTAAATCCACATCTTGAAACTCTACCCCACAAACATCTTTTATGAGATCCTTTACACCAGATTTAATTCGGCTTTTTTTAACTGTAGAAATTTTTAAATTTAATTGTACCTTAAGGTCATAGTTTTGGAACTGGAAGGGGCCCTAGAGGTCACCAAATCTAAACTCATTTTACAGATGAGGAAACTGAGGTCCAGAGAGGTGAAGCGCCTTGCCCAGGGTCATACAGCTAGTATCTGAGATGGGATCCAGATTCCAGAGTCGGGGCTCTAGGCACGGAACCAGAGCCAACCCCGAAAGGTCACCCCCGCCACCCCCACAGCGCTGCACTCGGGCCCCTCCAGGCACCCGCGCATCCTCCGCCGCCAGCAACAACAGACGACCGGGGAGGCCTGAGCGCTCGGCGGCCGCGCTGCAACGACGGAGTTAAATCCCGCTCTCGGAGCTCGCCCCTGGCCGGCGCTTAGTAGGTGGCGGGCCCATCCGGGAATACGGAGAGCCAGGAGACCCAGACACCCTCCCGCACCCCACCCGCAGGTCCCGCCGCCGAGCTCCCCTCCTTCCCGCACCCACCCGCACTCGACACAATCCATTTCACCTGACTCACTTACCCGCCTCCACGATAAGTCGAGCCCCACAACCAATGGCAACCTTCCAGGCGCCCAGTGCATGCAGGGAGAACAATTTCAGGCTAATCAGAAGCGAAGAAGTTGGAGGGGGCGGGGTTAGCGGGCGGAAGCTGCAATGCAAGCTGGGAGGAAGGGCTGGCGCTGGGTCGCCTCCGGGAGGAGGTCTGACCTGAGGAGGGGGAGGGAGGAAAAAGCGAGTGCCCGGTGAAGCCGCAAAGGCCGGTGAGAGGAGCCTCTGGAAGGGAACCTTTCTACGTCGCGGTGGATCTCCGTTGTCTGGGGTGGGCCCTCTGCTGCCTCCTACAGGATTGGGCGGACTGGGTGCCCTCGGGAACCATCGCTCCCGCCCCCGGCCAATTGCTCAGCTGGGTTCAGTCTGCGCCTGCCTCCCTGGGTTGTGGGGACTCTTAGCTAGCACTTCTATAGCGCTATACTATATACGTACATACATACATACACACATATATATGTGTGATATATGTATTCTCTATGTATATACGATATAAGAGTACTAGTACTCTTAGCTAGCGCTTCTATAACGCTATACTATATACGTACATACATACATATATACATATATGTATACTATATATACTCTCTCTCTTTATATACTATATAAGAGTACTAGTGAAGAGGTTTACTTACAATTCCCACAAAAACCTTAAAACTTTGAGATTCCTTGTAGACTCACTTATCTCTCTTTGACATCTTTCCTCCCCAGCCCCTAAAAAGAACCTGGCTTCAGTTTTGTTTACTGGTCCAGGAAACCCTTAAAGTTTTAGAAACTGCCTTATTTCCCTTTAAAAGCCCTTTGAAAGCAAACTTCCCCTTCCAGCTCCCTTCATTATCTATTCTCATTGTCTGTTCAAATCACTCAGACCTTCCAAACAGAAATTCTCACCTGGACCCTTTCCCATTGTTTTGCCTTCCTGGCCATTCCCACCCTTAATCCTAACTAGGCGCCAGTGTTCCCTTTGCCCCAGCTTGCTGGCCACCCCCATCCAGATCTCCCTAGATCCCTCCTCCCCTCACCCCAAAATGCTTGGCCACTCCTTGGACCCCTCCTCCCATCACTCCAAACTGCTTGGCCACTCCTAAGATCCCTCCTCCCCAATCAGTCTGTACTTAAGGCTCACCTTTCCCCTATTCTGATGCTGAGCTGTTCTCAAGCCTGGAAGCTGAGACCCCCTCTTGCCCGCCCATCCCAATGGGCCTCACGTGGCCTATCCACCCCAGCCCCCACTCAGATGCTGAGCTTTCTAGACTGCCTCAGGCTTCTAGTCCTTGTGAGCGTCACCTGACCACCTTAAACCCCATTTAGATCACTGATGTTTGGGTTCCTTTGGAGCCTGGCCTATATGCTTATCTTTAATAAACTTTTTCTCTGGCTGGAAGAAGATCTGAGTCGAATTCATTCAGGCAGATTCACGCCATGATTTGGGCTTTTCCCCACCATCTTGGGGTGCCTCTGTGCATCTAAGAGCACCCCAAAACCCCCCCTTCACTAGTACTCTTAGCTAGCACTTCTATAATGCTATACTATATACGTACATATATACATACATACATACATATATACATATATATGTATACTATATAGTACTCTATATATATACTATATAAGAGTACTCATACTCAGTGCTTCTATAACGCTATACTATATACATACATACATATATACACATATATGTATACTATATATACTCTATATGTACTATATAAGAGTACTAGTACTCTTAGCTAGCATTTCTATAGCACTTTAAAAGCACTTCACCTGTGTTGTCTCTTTCGAGCCTATTATCCCCATTTTATCGGAGGGCAAACTGAGGCATACAAAGGCAAAGTGATTTGCCTTGCCTAGGATCACACAGATCTTAAGTGACTGAGTCAGAATTTGAACTCAGCTCTTCTTGGCTCTTAAGTCTAGCCCCTCTGAGCCACCTATTTATTAAAACTGTTATGAGGGTCAAATGAAACAATGACTATAAAGTGCTTGGTAATCATAGGATGCTATTATTATTAATAATATTATCATTATTACTTGGGCTCTTGCCTCTGGAAGATTTCACAGTTTTACTTCCTGTCAGATTAGGGAGAATTAGCAGGTAGAAATGAAAGCCTAGCTTTAACCCACCTTGTGGCCTCAGGCAAATCTGTTACCTCATTTATAAAATAAGGGCCTTGAACTAGATGACCTGCAGGCCCCCTTCCAGCTCTAAACCACAGGATCCCTACAATCACTTAAATTTCAGTGAACTTCAGTTTCCCCATCAGGAAAACCAGGAATTTGAAGATCCCCTCCAGCTAAATGATGCTGCAGCATTATCCCTTGCTTTTCCCCTCCAATCCCGCAGCAAGCACCTTAATTCAAATTCTCACTTCTCTGTCCCATACATACTGACACCCCACCCCACCCCATCCCACTCCCTACTGATCAACCTGTACTTCCTCCTCCCAGGGCTATCCTAATGATCTTTCTAATGCATTCTGATGGTATCACTCCTAATTATCTCATTAGATAAGGCATTCTAGGGTGGAGTGGTAGCTCTAATTGTTAGGAAGTTTTTCTTTACTTTGAGCTTCTCATGCTTTTGCACCTTTTACCTTTTCTTCAATTCTGTCTTCTAGGGCCAAGCAGAACAAGTCTTTATCCAAATGCCAATTATTGGAGGACCCTGAAATCTGTTGATCTGTGCCTGGTAACTTGAACTCATTAAGGGCAGCTAAATGTTCACTAGTGGTCTCCCTGCTTACCTTGGATTTCTATTCCCTCTTATCCATTTTTTCTCCTTATCCTTTCCAGTACAAAGGTTATACTGTTTAGCAGAGAAAACAGATGTAATGTAGGAATTCAGTCATTCTACCTTCTCTCCATCTTCTTTTGTTATCATCCGATCAACCCCAAGCAGCCGTCCTGTTTTTTTCCCAATAGATTTTAAGAAAAATGCTCGTTGGGGCAGCATAGGTGGTACAGTGGATAGAGCACCGGTCCTAATGTCAGGGTGGACCTGAGTTCAAATCCAGCCTCAGACCAAACACTTGACGCTAGTTGTGTGACCCTGGGCAAGTCACTTAACCCCAATTGCCTAAAAAAAAAATTTAAAGAAAACTTCTTATTTTTATCTTTAACAGTCCTTCCCAGCCTCAGCTTATTCTGGACCTTTTAGTGCTTCTTACACTATTTTCTTTTTAAATTTTTGTATGTTTTGACATGTCCCAATAAACACTTAAATTTCCCACTGTCAACCATCACTGAGTTTGTTCTAAGAGAGACAAACAAAATTAGGCTGTATGTGCATGTTTATTTCTCCCAAAGCTGGCAGATCATGCATATAGAGATAAGCATGGGAGTTCATTGTGGAAAATGAGCCCATGGATGAATAGACAAAGGAGACCTTATAGCTTTGGAGTAATTCCCTTTCACCCCTTCTCTCCTTTCCTTGCTCAGGTTGCCTGTGTCAGCCAAAATTATAGTCTCCACGTGTGTTAACCATAATATGAGAAAGGAATTTCTTAATTGGATAGATTGTAAATACAATAAAATAAGAGAATGTCAAAGGGTCAACTGAAATTATAGATCCAGGATGTCTGTGTTTCTTTTATCATTAACATGACTACATATATATAGATAGATAGATAGCATAACATAGTATAACATGTGTCCATAACATACCAAGAAAAAAAGTTCCATTATTCAAGATCGAGTCAGGTTCAAGGCATCCTGCCCAGGACAGTCATAAATAGAAGAATGCTCCTGATCAGTTTCATCCAGCCTTATAGATGCTGACATAGGTTTTTATTTGTTTTTAAGCAATTGGGGTTAAGTGACTTGCCCAGGGTCACACAGCTAGTAAGTGTCAAGTGTTTGGTCTGAGGCCGGATTTGAACTCAGGTCCTCCTGACTTCAGGGCCGGGGCTCTATCCACTGCACCACCTAGCTGCCCCAGTTGCTGACATAGGAAGGGGCATTTTGGGTTCACTCAGAGAGCAGAGCAAAGCATGTATGTTATGCCAGAGCACACAAGGCATTATGATAGGTTAAGCACAGAGTGAGCGAAAAATATCTTTTTCCTGATTGGCCGATCTAGGTTTTAGGCCTTTCTCAGGCGATGGGGGGCTCAAAATGGTTCACACCACCAAATATTAAGTACAAAAAAGTTAACCAAAACTCCGTAATGGTGTGATTGATACTCATAGGACTTGTACTGACTCTTGAATTTTCACCTCATACCCATCAGCAACAAATATAAAGGTGAATGGAAATTCAGATTCACTAATGCATTTCTGGTAGAGTTGTGAATTGACACAAATACTCTGGAAAACAATCAGTAACTTTTCTCTCATAATTCCAAAATTATTGACCCAGAAATCCCACTACTGAGCATGTACTCCAACAGACAAAGAGAAAGCTACTATGTATGCCAAATTCTTATGCCTTGTCACTGGACTCCAATGACTCTGGAGGACAGAGTGAGGTTGATAACTTTGCACAGCACTGCCTCACTTAAATACAATTTACGTGCAAGTCAAGACATCACCCTCCTGATTGGTCCTCTACCAGAATGAAAGAAGAACAACTTACCTTTCCAGGTTTATTATATATAACTGCCTTGCTGGGTTCTCGGTGCCAGTCAAAGTAGTCTTGTTACTGTTCCTTACAGATGATATTGCACCTCCCATCTCTGTACCTTTGTACAGGCTCCCCATGCCTTGAAAGGTATTCCCTCCACACCTCTGTCTCTCAGAATTCCTAATTTCTTTCAAATACAACTAAAATACCTTCTCCTACCTGGGCCTTTCCTGATTCCCTAAACTGCTAGTGCCGGCCCCTGCAGATTAGCATGCATATATTTTATTTGTATTATACAAGTTGTCTCCCCTAAAAGAATGTAAGCTCCATGTGGGCAGCAAACATTTCATTTTTGTATCTGATAAAATTACAGGTTTAGACAAGAATTAAAATGTAAAATTAAAATCTTTAGGATCTAGCACATAGGAGACACTTGATAAATGCCTGTTGGTTGTTGGTTTTTGTGGTAGCA